AATAAAAATCATAAGGAAGATTTTAGATTTGTCAAACTTCAAGTCCCATTTTTAAATCTTTCACTAAACTTCAAGGACTAAAATTGAAAGTTTACTCTATTTTTTATGGGGGAAATAATATTTATTCGTTTTTTTTTTCTTATAAATTCTTGATTAAACGAAATTCTATATAAAATAATAAAATATAGGAAAAGGTTGAAGCAAAGGCACGTGTCGGTGGTCGGGAAGGCGTGTTGATTCGGTATTCGAGTAAAGAGGGAGCACGTGTCACGGTCTTCTTTCTCCTCAACTTGTGTTTTTAAATGTTTTTTTTGTTTTCATTTTCTTTTTCCATTTAATGTTAAAAATTATATATAATATTTAGTGGTTGCTGAATGGTTTGCTGTAAAATGATTACTAAGATGTTCTCATGATATAATGTGAAATAAATTATATTTATCTGGTAATTATTTATAGTGAAATTAAGGCACTGAAGGGTTAAGGGAGGCCCATGATATTGTTTGTTTACCTCTTAATAGTTTCATTAAGAGGCAACTTATGAATCGTTAAGAAGTGAATTTTGTTTGGCAAAAAAAAAATCTGTCTCTTAATGGTTCTAAAACTCTTTGAATGATTTTGTATTCTGAGCATCTTTTAATCATTCAACGTCTTAATTTCATTGTAAACAATTACCAAACAATTATAATTCATTTTTCACTATATCATGAGAGTTTCTTGATCATTCTGACCATTTAATCATTTCTGCACCAAGTCATTCAGCAACTACCAAACGTCCCCAAAATTATTCAGAGGGTTTTGAAACCATTAATAGACAGACTTTTTATTTGTCAAACAAGATTCACCTCTTAACGATTCAGAAACTACCTCTTTATGTAACTATTAAAAAATAAACAAACAACCTTTTAGCCATTTAAATCAAACTCAATAATAAATCTCAATCTATTTTACAGTTATACCTCCCACGTTTTAGTATTATTTTTTATTTTTAAATTATAATTTATATGCTTATAATTATTTATTTAATTCTTTATGTCCCTTCATATTTAACATTTATGATCGTATATTAACTGAAACACATTAAAAAAATGTTTTTTATTTTTAAAAATTATACTATTATGACCGTCTCATCAATACAATTAAAATGAGTCCAATATTAAATATTTGTTTAATTTAATCGTATTATTAAATAATATAAATATATAATAAATTATTTTCAAAACTTACATTTTTACCCATGTGAGGTTTAAAAGTAGGATTTTCAGTTATTTTTGAATTTTTAAGAGGTATAATAATTTAAAGATATTGTACAAGTTCTTAAAGCTTACAACCTTCCACGATCTTCCATCAAATCATTTTTAATTTCAAAATTATATTTTTATACTTTTATAATTAGTGATTTGATTTGCCTTACATCACTTTTTTTTTTTTTTTCATTTTTCGTTTTTAATTCTACACCCTTATTATATTAACATAAATACTCATATAGAAAGTAAAATACATTTAAAAAATATTTTTTCTGTTTAAAGTCATGTCGTGTACCTGACCTACGGGCAAGTATAACACTAGTTAAAATAGTTGTAATAAAGTTGATATATTTATATTGTGAGTTATTATGCAACTATTTATATTTGTACAACCAATACAACTCAATTTCAACCGTCCATTTAATTTGATGAATATGTGATTGCATAAAAGTTTTGATTGTTTTCTAATATAAAGTATTGATCATAATTAATGAACTCTAATCATCTTTCAGAAATATTCAAATCATAATAAATAAACTCTCACAATTTTCATAATTATCTCAATTGATTGGGTTGTATTGGTTGTACGAATGGACATAATTGCATTTGAAATATACTCTATATTTATATTGTGAGTGATTAAATAGATATTCGGTTTATTTTTCATTAAAACTTGTATAAATAAACTAATTTATATGAATTAATCTATTTATATATATTAAAAAGATTTTTTTTTTTTTGAGAAAATTTATTCATAAATTGAAGGAGCGTGTTTTTAATTGGAAGAGACATGTTTTGGGAAAAAAAAACTTGACTTTCTATATAAAGCTTCGATCTTAAAACTTATAGAATAAGTCACTTTCTATAGCACTAATTCATTATCAAACAGTCGTATAACTGGCCATTAAACTCATTAAGCTGCTAATTAACATGCTCTAAGTTTTTAAACAGATAAAATTTTAAATTTATTGCAATCGAATAAATTCTTAAATCTATTGAAAATCGAACAAATAAATTATAGGCTATCAAAACCTAAAATAACCCAACGAAATTTCATATTTTGAAAGACTGAGTTTTTTAAAGTATTTTTGAACTAATTACAAGTCACATGTGTAAAATGAAGGGAATATGCTATTTTTCTTTCGATGTCTTAACAAATCAGTAGTAAAGTACAATGAAATAATAAAACAGATAAAAAGGAACCATTTTTATTAGCCATCAGTTATTTCTTATATTCAAATAACAATCACAAGTATCTGTTATAATCCTTTGATTTTCATTTGAATCTAAAAATTAAATAATCAGTAGTTTTTATTTTCTCGTATAATTGTTATTTAAATATGAAAAATAAATAATGACCAATGAAAAAATGTGTATATTTATTCCATTTTATTACTTTATTGTATTTTGTTATTAATCTACTGATACATGAACGAGAGAAATTATATATACATTTCATTTCATAAGTGTAACGAAATATATATTCAGAAAGATGCCGAGACTTGGTATTATTTGCTGAATGTGGCGAGTGATATGGTATCCAACTCAGTATTATTTGCTGGAGTATTAACCGGATACCATATCACTCGCCACATCAGCATGATAACCGGTTAATGCTTCAACCAGTTACCCGAATACTTAAATGTTTAAAATTTTACATCTTAGGTACCAAAATAAAAGTTTTAAAAGTATGTTACCCAATACAGGAATCATGTTAAAGTATGTTAGTTTTTCATACAATTTGTCATTTTTGATTTAATAAGTTTAATAAATATATTTGTTCATCTTTTTAAATTCAATAATTTATTTATTAGAAAAAAATAGTCAATTTTTTTTTTCTCTAAGATAAAATATAAAGTTATTTAAATATCCTCAAATTTACGTATTTGATTTGGTTGTAATTTGAATGATTCAAGTCATAATAATCATTTTTAATATATATCCGGATTAAGGGATGTTTGGGATTGCTTATAAAAGCAACTTATCGACTTATTCCGGTGTGGCACAAGCATTTTTGAGTGTTTGGATAAACAACTTATACCGGTGTCAAACTGGTAATAAAAAGTTTTTGAAGAAGTTATGAGGTGTTTGGAAATTGCTTATTTGAAACAACTTATGTTTTTTTTACAAAAGCACTTACCAACTTATCATAAGTTAGAAGGATTTAACTTATTCAAAAACTCTTTTATTACCGGTTTGACACCGGTACAAGTTGTTTATCCAAACACTCAAAAATATTTATTACCGATGTCACACCGAAATAAGTCAATAAATTTCTTTTATAAGCAGTCCCAAACACCCCTTTGAACCTTTCTAACTTATAATAAGTTGATAAGTGTTTTTTTGTTAAAAACATAAGTTGTTTCAAATAAGCAATCCCAATTCCCAAATTCCCCCTAAAGATGCATAAAAAGATTGGGACTAAGAATCGAGGATCGGTACAGACCTGGCTGAATAGCTCTAGATCAGACCCAAATTTTCTAGACTAGGATCGGTTACATCATGGTTCGATCAAAGCCTGAACCTAAGGCTCAATTAGGAACTGGTCAAAGCCCAGTCAACAACCGTTTTAATTTGAATTTTTGGACCAAAAAGGACCGATTCGTGACCGATCAAGAACCGGCCAACAGTTCAAATTCTGCTTAGATGACTCTACCTTTAAAATAATAATTTTACCGCTAAAACTAGTCGTGGGTATCACTGAAATTGTGATTTAGGGGTTGTTTGGTTGATTTTTCATTCAATCTTGTATGAATAAAGCTCTCTTTATGGACTAATCTATATGTATAGATTGAGAAGATTTTTGTTTGGGTAAATTTGTTTTTCATAGATGGAAGGAGCATGTTTTTTAATTAGGAGGGGTGACTACATAAAGTTGAACTTACTGAATAAGCCACGTTCTATATCGTTAAGTCACTATCAACCAGTCATGTATAGTTGACAGTTTTCATTTTCTCGATATTTTAGTATCCTCCATCTTTTGTATCCTTGATCTTTCCATCGTATTCTAAAAATTGGTATCACAACAAAGCGATAGCAATGTCGGGTCTTCTTTGGCTTTATAAAACACTTAAAAATAAATTACAAAGTTATTGCCACCCATAATCGTAAAACCGTGATTTGGGATTTCAAAAAATTTGACATTTATAATAAAATCCAAAAATGAAAAAGTTCGACTAAACACCAACCCAAGACTGAAGGATTGAATCAGAACTAAGGAAGGTGGAACGGGAAGTTTGGTAAATTACTAAACAAACTAAAACCCTGGTACCCTCAACAGTTCTTTCACCCGTCTGCCTCACTTTCGCTTGTCCAGTCCATGGCGTTACCAAACACACCCTAACATAGGGACATCTAGTTCACAAGCATTAGAACCCAAACTCGGGGTCTTGTAAGATGGCAAAACTACTGACATATCAAGGCCATTGACACGAGAGGACCCCGAACATTCATTGACAATATTCAACTAGGGGTTGTTTGCTTACCTCTTAATAGTTCTATTAAGAGGCAACCTCTGAATCGTTAAAAGATGAATCTTGTTTGGCAAAAAAAAAAAGTTTGCCTCTTAAGGGTTCTAAAACCCTCTGAATGATTTTGTATCCTGGAACTCCCTTAACCATTAAGAGCCCTAATTTCATTGTACACAATTATATTTCATTTTGCACTATATCATGAGAGCCTCTTAATCATTCTGTATCAAACCATTCAACAATTGTCAATCAGCCCCTAATAGTAAAACATCTATTGAACTACATGTAGCCAAATGTTGCAATTTGCATATGCAAAGAGAGTGTTGAAAAAAGAAAGATTTAACATGAAATATGTTAGAATTTCAGTGATATTTAGGTCTTGATGTGCTCAAAAGGGTGAGTTTGTTACTAAAGAATATGTATCCAAGTTTGGGCACTTCATTAGGACATGAAATCTAAGATGGATAAACCATAGAACAGACAAAGCACACCTGAATTGAAGTTGTTTGTATATACAGATGATCAAACTGACTGCAAATCCATAAGCAGGGTTGCTGTAACACGCGATATGAATTCCTAACAGGATCAGCCACCTGAAATCCTTACAGAAGGAATAGTCAACAGAGTCAAACCACGCATAAAGCCTTGGTCGTCATTCTAACACGGCCACACGGGTATCAGCAGAATTAGAAACCTACTTATATTAAACGAAAATAAAGAGTTGGATTTCGTAACTCTTCAACTGTTTAAAGCGTTCTGGGTAGGTTATTTGTTTTGCATATCAAGAAAAAACAGTTTTAAGAATATAATCGGCAAGGTGAAAGTGGACAGACCTAGTGTTGTTTTTTGAGTCGTTTGGGGGGCCTCATTGTTTCTTTCCTCGAGTCTGCTGCAACTTTTACATCTGCATAGGGCTGCAAGAAATTTAAAAGAACGAATATAGTCATTCTCAAGACAAGATCTTGGTATCAAACAAGTTTGGATAGGCTAAAGATGATAACATAATAACTTAACTCAACAAATCCCTATAAAGAAAAGGCGATGATTATAATGTAGAAGTTAAGTACCGTTAAGAATGACCCGCAAGTAAAGGTCCAAGTGGGCTCATCCACGATAACGCTTTTCCAAGGGGTTCCGTCTCCTTTGTCCCAAAAAAGTGGGCTCATACAGAAACAAGAACTTTGGCAACAGTTGTTCATGATGGAAAAGCTTTTTGTTTATATAAAAAGAAGGGTCATGAAATTAAATCCTAAATGCCCTTTGCTGCATCTTCCCCAAATGCTCTCAAAGTTGCACAATACTGGTATAGTTCTATCAACCTTTGCATTTCCTTCTGAGATCCCAAGTCTCCAAGTAAGCCCTCTTGGCCAACCAAAACTTGGTAAATAGTTTATTACTAGTGACATAACATTTTCTTGAGATTAGAATCTGTCGAGTATTATCGAGTATAATATCAATAAACATTTAAGGACTTCTTCATCTATTAAATATTGTTACCATTTATGTTTGATTATATTGCTAAATTGTGCACTTATTTATCTGTTGTTACTTGTTTTAGTTTGGTTGTAAATGCAGGAACCGGGTACATGGCACAGAACCACAACAAGAACAAAGGGTTACAGACCAAAAATGGAAAGTGGGAAGAAAAGTCCAAAGAGGTGAGCTACACCTCGGGTAAGGGCCTGTATGTTAGCAGCTTAATGAGCTTACACAACTTATTCGGTTAGCTACATATAACTGTTTGGTAGTGTCTTATTTAGTAAGCTTAATAGGATAAAGCTTTATGCAGAAACCAGAAAGTCAAGTTTTTTTCCAAACCTTCCCCTCCCAATTGAAAAACACGCTCATGCCATCTATGAAAAAATCATCTAAACAAAAACATTACCAATCTATACAGACAAATCAATTCACACAGACAACTTTATCCATATAGACTTAATGGAAAACCAAACAAACACTCCCTAAGTAGTAACCCTGCCCCTTTAAAGAAAAAAGAAGTGTAGAAGTGTTAAGCCTGAAGCTGTAAACTCACAGAAAACTTAGCCTCTAAAGCTTACCTTTATTGAATGGAAAACTGGCTATATATATAAGCCACGTACAAATGAAAGAGTGAAATAAGCAGAAAAATAATGAGCTACATGCTAGTCTAATGTTGACTCCTTTATTCTCGGTGATCCTAAAGACTGGGTAAACCAAGTCTTCAATAACAGCTAACAATCCCTCCCTTAAACTAAGCAGTGCTACTTAGTTTAATTCACAAACACCCAACATTCTTCTGAGCTTCTGAAACTGATCAAGCTTAAGTGGCTTCGTAGATATGTCTGCTATCTGCTCCTGGCTTCTACAGTAAACCAATTGCACCTCTCCATTGTTCGATAATTCTCTCAGAAAATGGAGACGAACTCTGATGTGTTTGCTTTTCCCATGCATGACCGGATTTTTGGACATCTTAATAGAGGAATTATTATCACAGTAGATTGTTACACACTCTTTCCCTCCATGATCGATACTCTTAAGAATCGTCTTCATCCACATTGCCTGACAAGCACATGCCGCAGCAGCTACAAATTCCGCCTCTGTAGATGATAGTGTGACCACAGGTTGTTTTCTGGAAGACCACAGGTTGTTTTCTGGAAGACCAAGCTACGGCTGCTGAACTCATCATAAATGTATAACCCGATGTGCTTCTTCCATCATCGTGATCTCCTGCGTAGTTCCTGTCTGTGTACCCAACTAAAGTATCAATAGAGTTTTTTTGGTATAGGATTCCATACCCGCTTGTGCCAGCAACATATCGAAGAAATCTTTTTGCAGCCATTAAGTGAGTGTGCTTGGGCTTGGACATACATCTACTAATCAAGCAAACCGAATACATTAAGTCGGGACGAGTCGTGGTTAAGTACATCAGACTCCCTATGAGCTGCTTGTAATGGGTGCTGTCGACTTCGGCTCCTTGTTCATCCTTTGAAATCTTCGAACCAGGCACTATGGGGTTGTGTACTCCATTACAGTCTCCCATCCTGAATCTTCTCAAAACTTCAAGTGCATAATTTTTCTGACATATGAAGATACCATTCTACATTTGAGAAACTTCAATGCCAAGAAAAAACTTCATCTTCCCCAAGTCAGACATGTCAAATTCTTTCATCATTGATGCCTTGAACTCTTTCATCATTGCATCATCATCCCCGGTATAAATCAGATCATCAACGCACAAACTTACGATCAAGTGCATGCCTTGGTTGATTTTTACGAATAGAGTTTGTTCACTTGAGCACCTCTTAAACCCCTCCCTTAAGAAGTAGCTTTCAATGCGGTTAAACCAGGCACGTGGCGCTTGCTTTAATCCATATAAGGCCTTCCGTAGCTTATATACTTTGTTGGGGTTCTCTTCTCTAACGAATCCTTTCGGTTGTTCAACATAAACATCTTCCAGCAGCTCGCCGTGTAGAAATGCAGATTTTACATTTAGCTGATACGCTTGCCATCTTTTATTTGCTGCTAGAGCAAGGATTGTGCGTACTGTATCCATCCGAGCTACAGGAGCGAAGATCTCACGATAATCACCTCCATATTCTTGAGCATACCCTTTTGCCACTAACCGAGCTTTGAACTTCTGAACTTCACCATGTTCATCTAGCTTCGTCTTATAAATCCACTTCACTCCGATACACTTCCCACCTTCGGGTAGATCTGTTAAAAACCAGGTATTATTCTTCTCAATGCTTTCCATTTCAACTTCCATTGCTCTCTTCCACTCTTTAATATTCACAGCTTCTTCAAAACACGTCGGATCAACAGTGATAGCAAAGTTTAGGATGCCTTCTGATTCTTCTTCAGACAGTCCTTCTCCGCTGGTGTAGTCATCCATCCACGAAGGAAGTCTTCTGTTTCGAGCTTCTAAAACTGGACTCGAAGTGTCTAGTGGGGTTCTGGTTTGGTTTTTGTCATTGTTCTTGAGAACTCGACTACTTCAGTTTCTGCGTTGATTCTTGAGGACTCGGCTACTTCAGTTTCTGCGTTGATTCTTGAGGACTCGGCTGCTTCAGTTTCTCTCCCAACCTCTTCCATATCACCTTCATCTCCCCATTCAAGCTCCATTGCAGTGAATTGTTTATGGTGATCTTCCCATTTCCAGTTGACATTTTCTTCGAAGACAACATCTTTGCTAGTCACCACTTTATCCCTCGTGGGATCGTAAATTTTATAACCCTTTGACTCGTCGCTGATTCCAATAGAATACCGCTGATACTTTTGTCATCTAGCTTAGTTCTTCTTTGATCCGGTACGTGAACATGACATACACATCCAAAACTTCTTATATGTGCAACCGAGGGCCGTCTTCCACTCTAAGCTTCTTCGGGCGTTTTATCTTTCACAGCAACTGTAGGGTACCGGTGTAGGACATATATCACCCACTTTACAGCCTCCAGCCAAAAAGTTCTTGGGACTCCCGTTTCTGACATCATGCTTCTGACCAAGTTCAATACGGTGCGATTTTTCCTCTCTGTGACTCCATTTTGTTGAGGGGTAAAGGCAGTAGTGAGTTGTCTTTTTACTCCATTTTCTTCACAAAACTTGTTGAACTCGGCTTATGTAAATTCTCCTCCGCGATCTGTTCTCAAACACTTGATTGGAAGACCCGTTTCCTTTTCAACTAACGCCTTGTAAAGTTTGAATGTCGAAAAAGCATCTGATTTGGCCCTTAGGAAATAATCCTACGCTTTTCGACTAAAATCGTCGATCAAACACATCACATGCAGTTTTCCATTGTTTGACGCAGGGGAGATGGGACCACATAGATCAACATGTACAAGTTCTAACCTTTGTGTTGCTTGCCAGTTGCTATGTTTTGACATGGGTTCCCTGTGCTGCTTCCCTCTTAAACAGTGTGTACAAATCTTATCGGAGAGTGAAAAATGCGGTAATCCATCTACTAACTTCTTTTGTTGGAGAGTTTGTAGACTTGTATTACTGATGTGAGCTAATCTCCAATGCCATAACTGTGCTAGATCTTCTGTGACTGTGCTTAAACACACTTCTTGTTTGTTGTCGACAGCTTTGCGTATTGCTTTAGCCACCAAGGTGAACATCCGGTTGGTGGTCATATTAGACTGAATAATAAGACCCCTTTCTGGATGATATATTTTGCACTTACCTCCTTGAATCAAGATGGCTGTGTCTTTCTCTTGTAGTTGTCCCATGCTCAACAGATTGTTCTTGAGCTCGGGGACATAAAACACATCACAGATCACATAGCAGAACCCATTTATCTCCATCTTTGTGCTGCCAATTGCTGCAACCTTCATTCTTGTGTTATTCCCTAGTTTGACTGTCTGCTTGAACGCCTCATCTATCTCATAAAACATGCTTTTATCTCCGCACATGTGGTTGCTGCATCCTGAGTCCAGAAACCAAATGTCTTCCCTTTTTGCACCAATTTCATCGACGTACGCCATGAGAAGCATTTCTTCTTCTTCATTAAATTCCGCATAGTTTGGTTGCTCATTCCACGTCGGACATTCATTTTGAAAGTGTCCAAGCTTGTGACATCGGTAGCATTCAATGATGTCTTTGTTGAACAACGGTCTTCCTCTTCCTCCAAAACCTCGTCCCCGGCCTCGGTAACCTCGATTGCGTCCTCCAGAACCTCTTCCTTGACCATGATCGAATGTTACCTTAAGTGCTTGATCTTCCATGTTTTCATGCTTTTTTAGCTTATGTTCGTGCACAAGTAGCGAGCTTTGTAATTCATCAATCGTGAGTAGATCGATGTCCTTTGATTCTTCGATCGAACAGACAACAAAGTTGAAGTTGTCTGTTAGTGATCGTAGAATTTTCTCAACGATTTTTACATCATCAAGGTTTTCTCCATAGTTCCGCATGTCATTCGTCACACCTAGGACCCTTCCGAAGTAATCTGTCACAGATTCCCCTACCTTCATCTCCAACATTTCAAATGATCTTCGAAGTCTCTGTAGCTGAGCACGCTTCACTCTTGCGTTTCCCTGGTACTTGACTTGCATCGACTCCCAAAGTTGTTTTGCCGTATCCTTCTGCGTGATGGTCTTCAGAATATTCTTGTCAATGGACTGGAACAAGTAATTCTTTGCTTTTAAGTCTTTAAGCCTTGCTTCGTCTAGGGCTTTCTGATTCGGCACAGGTACGACTTCACCGGCTGCAGGTTCTGTGTACCCTTCTTGTATCACACTCCAATACTCTTTAGAACGAAGCAGGTTTTCCATGATCAAACTCCAGTGATCATAATCTCCATCGAACTTGGGTACACATGGGGTTGTGAAGTTGCCAGACTCACCTGCCATTTCTCACACACTCGTGTTTCACCCCCACAGATTCTCACTTCACTTTTCTCACACACACTCGTGTTTCACTCCACGAATTCTCACTTCACTTGTCTCGATCAATCAGACCTTGATAAGGCTCTAATACCAATTGTTAAGCCTGAAGCTTTGTAAACACACAGAAAACTTAGCCTCTAAAGCTTACCTTTATTGAATGGAAAACTGGCTATATATATAAGCCACGTACAACTGAAAGAGTGAAATAAGCAGAAAAATAATGAGCTACATGCTAGTCTAATGTTGACTCCTTTATTCTCGGTGATCCTAAAGATTGGGTAAACCAAGTCTTCAATAACAGCTAACAAGAAGTTGTCAAGAGTGTGGCTATTTTTCCTTTTTCCTTCGAAATAGTAGTTATGGTGTAGGTTTTAAGGTGGCCTTAGCATAGACTTACCTTGGCCTTGTGAAGACTCATGTTCAATGAAGAATTACAAAGGCTTAGATGTTTGATTGTTTAGGTGGGTCCATATCATTGGTACAGTGTGCATGGATGAATCGGAAAGCTAGAATATGTTGGGGACTCTCCTCTTCCTTCTGCCACATATACATACACCACCATTGGAGCTTCAACGGGATCATTCATAGTCCACCAACCACAGATGATCAGCATCTCCACTACTGTCGCCGAACTTTATACACCTTTCCTCCATCATTCAATTTGACCACAACTAAGACGTGAATATAGCCGAGGGACTAATTGATAGCAATTCGACCACTATGACAAAGATGTGAAGCATGTACAAATAGGCATAGACAAAACCCTAGTTTGAATTTTCCTTTGTAGCATCTTTATTCAGTTTTGTAATCTAATGTTCATAGACATGTATGTACACTTAATAAATTGCCCTTTCAGCTAATCAATTTGTTGTTTCTTTGCATGTATGCTAATCTTAAGATAGTCTTCCATACATGTTGAACATAGTAGTTTGGTGTTTAAACGAATGGTTTGGGATCACATAGCTTATGACGAGAATTAGGTCTATCTATATTTCATGCCGGTTCATGTGAAGGGGCCATTTTGCATGGACCCCATGGAGTGGTGGGGCCAAAGGTGTAGTATGGATATTTGAAAAAAAAAATCCTATGACTTGAATAAAGAATGATCTTCACTGAATAAACTTTTAATACCACAATCGAACCCAATTGGTACAAATGAAGGTAACCATGTCAAGACCAACGGCATTGCTATATATAGTAGAACATTCTCTTCGAGATTTAATGGGTAACTTCAAGATTGGTTCTTGAAGAATGTCTTGTAAATGAAATTACTTAGCGTCAATGTATTTAGCTATTCAAATTTCTTTACCATACATGTTCTGTGTATTGTGATTACATGAGGGATCCATGCATTCAGTTCACATTTACACAACAGTTTCGATTCCAAGAATTTTGTTAAAGGTTATCTAAAATATGAGAGAGCATCATCCTTTCACATGTAACATAAGTCATTTGTTGAATTGCAAAACTAGCATGTTCACTCTAAGCATGTTAATGCTCCACTACACCAGAAGTTAAAAGGCCCTTGGGAGTTTTTTACTTCTCTTTATCATGGAAACTCATAAGTAGAAGTCTATCATACACATTGCACAAATTGTAATTCCTAACTTAAAACATAAGTTCATGCCCAGGCATCCAAGCTCTCAGCCACCACCTTCACTTGCCATAGTGTATTAATAGTTATTAGTGTTTTCAGATGTTTGCTTTACACAATTGGAGTCACATCAAAGGGATCGATATATCTAAATATGGTCCAATGTGGCCTCCAATCAGTCTAGAAAAAGTATTCAGCGGTTAGTTATGCAAAGAAACCATAAGTGTATATAAATACCTATCATTCAACTCAAAAACGGTAGGAGAAACAATACAATCAAATTGTCAGCAAAGTTATACTCGTGTTACTCGATACCAAATATATGTCGGTATCCAATCTTTTTGAGAAATTAGTCACATTTGACCATTAAGGGAGCCAGGGAGGTTCATACAGCCCGCTGCGGTAGTATTAACCAAAAGTATGTTACTTTACACAATTGGTTTACAGAAAAACAGCCTGGCAGGTATCCAGGAACAGGAAAATTAGTTCCAACATCTCTGTGTCTATAACCTTCTATGTATGGATTATGATCTAATAAGTTAGAACCTGGCAGAGCTGTACCTAAGTGCCTAACTGCTACGTTACTCATCTAGGCAACATGTCAATTACTTAGACAGCCTGCAAGTTTTGAAAGTTGAATTTGTTAAACTAGAGATGAGTGTATGCCAGCCAACCATCATAATTCCTGTTGACATGACATGTTATCAAAGAATCAATACTATGGTATTTGTCTTCACTCGAAATTAATATACACTAGGCATCTGCTCCATAATACATCAAATGTTGCTTCTCCTTTGTTAATTCTCTTTCTGCTTCAACTATGTTTTTGTTCTGACTAGTGTCTGTAGCTTTGACTTTGTTCCATTGCTTCATAATTCAACATTCCTATATGTTGGTTCATGCCTTAATGTTGATCAGGTTCTTCAATTTATTGTCTAAACCAGGAAACCTTGATGACAAAAAACTTGTGGATATTAGAAAATAGTTTTGTTCGCCGAGGAAAACAGTGTGCACCACACAGCATCATGCCTTTTTCTATGGACTGCGACACATGCCATAACTAGAATGAGAAATTTTGTCTCACAATCTCCCATCGATACTTGGATCTTAGAAGAAATAAAAATATGATGGCTGAAAATCTAATGTGCTACCATGGAGGACTATGATTTCAAATTAATTCCACTCTATAACCTGTTGGTGATATCTGTAGATATTGAAGGGAAAATCAAACATATAATAATGTCGGCAAGGAATAGCTATATCTGATATTATTATGCCATAAAACAACTAAACAGCCATAGTAAAAGATATTGACCAAAAGACAAATAGTTTGTAAGAGTAAAAAGGGTTTGCGTTCCCTATGAAGCACAAGACCATGCATATTTATCATCTTTAATAGAAAATATGAATATATAAGCACGTTCTAACGTTCATACCTCTTCACATTTTTTTTGGAGTTCTAAAAGCTCTTGGCAGTATGCAAGGCATTCAGCATGGTATACGGCCGCCAAGTCTTTTATTAAGGCTTTCCTTTTGATGATACCAATCACTTCAAAAGAATTCAACAATAAAAGAAAGTGTTATGATTTAGATACCAAAACAAAAAGATTATGCCTTGACAAGGAGTCCTTTAATAAGCAAGATAATTTTAGATAAGCATCACAGAGGTACAATATCAAGTAATTATGGATGCAAGAGCTGAGGATTTCTATTTTCCTATGATTGGACTGAAGCACACTACTTGATATGTCTATCCTATGAAAAATTATATTTACTGTAAATCCAATGTGACAATGTTATAACTGTTAGTCTGTCTACTCTACCAAAAGGGAATAAAAATGGGTCTTTCTCTCAGTAAAATACATGAAAGCCACATTCCAGTAATCTTGTTTTGAATTTTCAAAAACTATTCCCATATATTCAGAGTATAACAATAGTTAAATATTAATCAAGTGGTAAACTTCTAAACATAAATTGTGAAATGAACTATTTGCCTTACAAACTAGACTTCTCTTCTTTTTCAAATTTATTTTAGTGGATCTAATCAAAACTATTTTTTACAATGCTTACCTTGCTTCTTCACTAACACAAATGATAGTAATAAATGTACAAAGAAAAAGCAAAGCAAATGCAATGCAACCTTATTTCTTGCAGTATCACTAGGAAAATAAAACCAACCATTAAAATTACTTTATTTGCATATCTCCAACAAGTCGCCTTAAATTTTTCATCATGATTATTCACTTCCTTGTGATAGAACATTTATTGACTGGCTGACAAATAAATTATTCAATACACCATCAAATTGTTTGCAAAACCCTAGGAAAAATTGTTTAGTCACTGGCAAGTACTCACGATCTAAAAGTTAAGTAATTGATCAATCACATAGAGAACCGTCTAGCGCACGGCGTATCGTTAACCCCGATTGCAAATTGAAAAACCCTAACAAAATGAGAATCATGGAGGCACGTATTTTTTTTTAACGTTTATAACTAGAATTTAACAAAGATGATGCAATAAACAATAATCCATCAGTAACAGTAGTTGAAGAATGGTAGAATGATACAAAAAAGTGAGCTTGGATAAAGAGAGCTTACTACGGCTGGGATCGAAACGATGGAGAGGAGGCTGGTTCGGCGGTGCAGACGGAAGGCTAGTAGGAGATTTTGTTGATGCAGGCGGCGGCGGCGGAGGAAGAGTATCGGCAGGATGAGGAGGAGGAGAAGGTTCCTTCTGTAACTCACTCATTTGGTTTACCAACAACAATCGGTCGCCGATGACTCCTCTGTGTCTCCGGTGAAATTGACCTTTTGTTCTGGCCTTTATCCGGCCTCCGCCGGGCAGGACTCCCTCCCTTTCTTTTTATAAATATAATTTTTTTTAAGGTTTTTAACAAATAAATGCTTGAAATTTCTGAAATTGATGGGATAAATTTTATTAAAATTAAAAATTAAGTTTATAATTTTTTAAACTCGCACAATACAACGAGATACATATTAATTTTAGTGTTTTTTGTTTTGTTTTAGGCAATGTTATTATATGATTTTATATAATTTTGAGAAAGCGATAATATTTTTATTTTTAAATAAAATATAAGTATGAAGATATTATAAAAATTTTAAAAAAATATTGATATTAGTATCAGATTAATTATTTAAAAATTCTCGTTTTTTTAGTATTTCTTTAATTCATTTTTTATTTTTTGTTTAATAATATAATTTTTTATAAAGATAATAATCAAGTATTTTGTTATGACTCAATAATTATCCTAATTATATTTTAGTTTTTTTTATTTAAAATGAGATATTTATTCTCTACTTGATCATGTTTACATGAAGTTAATTACACGAATTCAAGCATGAAGTTTTAATAAGTTGTACTTACGCACAATTTACTCGTAATCTTGAATTTTAAGTAATATGCATCAATAAACAGTACTTCGTGCAGGTTTTTAAGAGTTTTTGTCAAATGTTTTATGATATAGTATAGATTATGTAACAACGTCATTTTATCCTACCAACCAGATGCCCCAACTCCTCCCTCAAGACACCAGTCCCCCATTTTCTCAAACCTCTGTCATTCTCGCCCCTTTTTCCTCCTACTTCTTATAAATTGTTCGTCTCTCGCCATCATTCACAACACCCAACCTCTACCCTGATATTCTTCTTCTCTCATTTCCACATATCCTTCACGTCATTGTCTTTTTTCCATCACCAACACCAACCATACTCGACCCTTTTTAAAAGAGGAAGTCAAGAGTGAGGGGTTGTTGGGTTTGAGAAACAGGGTTTTATGGTTGAAACTAGGACGCTACATCCGAAAATCAAGAGTGAGAGGATGTTGAGGTTAGGGGCGGACACACTAGCAAAATGTGGTGTGGGGTGGGGTGGGGTGGGGTGGGGTGGGACCCCAGTCAAAAAGAAATTCATAGGTTAAAATTTAGATTTTACATGATTTACCTTTCACTTCCCCCTAACCCCAATCGAAACCGAAACTCTAACCAAAAAAATCTATTGAAATCAATAAAAAAAACCCAAAAAAAAAATATATTTAAAATCGACAAAAACAATAAAAAAAAATCCCTCGAAATCAACAAAAAAAACTTTAAAAATCCCTCGGAACGTTGTAATTAGAATTAAAACACATCGGACGACTTTGCAGGCCTTTAATCTACCTTAAAAGTGGCTCCACTAGACAAAAATCCTGAATCTGCCATTGGTTGGGGTCAATCTATTTTGCAGTCTCGAAGGGTTATGAGATAGAGCGGAAATTCATAGTCCCCTTTACCAATCTCTTTCTCTAGCGACTCCCCTCCAATGAAACCCCTCCCCTACAACTATCTCCAATTAACCCCTTCTTTCGCCACCCCTTATGTGGACTTCCTTTCGAGAAACTATGTGCAAAATAGAAAATGATCTCATCCTTGTTTTGATTTAAAGAACTCGAGGGTTTTCTAGGACATGGATATCGTCGATTATTTCTCTCGCATGAGAAGATGGACGAAGCCAGTTTGCGATACGATAAGGGCAGGGGTCGAAGACGACATGAGGATTCGACCTGTGTTTTGCAGCTTTCGATCTCGTGGTTTATGCGTATGTGCATATATGTTATAACTTATATTATTTTTTAAAAAGTAAAATTAAAGCAAAACGAGAAAAGACGGAAAATCCCTGGTTTAACGGCTTAAAGTTGACAGAAGTTAGTAGTAAGGACCAAAATCGAGCAAAAATACATACCACATGGGTTTTCTTGCAATAAAAATTTTGTATGGACCCAATTGAAAGAAACAACAAACCAGGGACCAAAATGCAATTTACTCTTGAATAAATTCATGACCGGAGTGACGTCATCTATGAAAATAGGGCGCATTTTAAAACCCTAAAACTATCAGCTCAAAGGGTTTAAGCAGGAGCGAGACTTTGTGGACAGACGATCGGAATCTGTAGAGATGAGTTTGGTAGCAGGGTCATACGAGCGATTTATCTGGGGATTCAAGCTCAAAACCCTTAAACACTCCACCGAAACCCTAACGCTCTCCCCAATTTTCTCTTTTCCATCTCATCTTTCTCCAATCAAGTGTGTTGCCGTTGCCGGAACCGTCGCTGTATCTGGTGGGTCTGATGACACCATTAAGATATACGACCTATCCACTTCATCGGAGGTTGGTTCACTCAATGATCCAACCGCCACCGTCACATCGCTATCCCTTTTCACCCCTCCGTCTCTCTCATCTTTCCCTCGTAACCTGTTTTCGGCATATGATGACGGTAACATATCGTTCTACGATGCCGATCCCTTCGTTCACCTAAAAACTTTGAAGATACACAAGAAAGGTGTTAATGATATGTCTGTTCACCCGTCGGGGAAGTTGGCGCTGACGGTGGGTAGAGATTCTTGTTTAGCTATGGTGAATTTGGTTAGAGGAAGGAGAAGCTTTTACTGTAAGATGGGGAAAGAAGCTTCTGTTGTGAAATTTGATTGTAGTGGCGATAAGTTCTTCATGGGGATGGATGAGAAGATATCAGTCCATGAAGCAGAGGATGCAAAACTGATAGTTGAATTGGAAGCCAACAAAAAAGTTCTCTGCATTGCACCTGGAATGGTTGGTTTGCTGTATAATTCTTTAATTTTGTAAAATAGTCACTTTTTTCTTAATTCATGCCTGCTTAATTGATTTAGATGGCATTATACAATCACAAATATGACATGTTATACGGGAAAATTGCTTTGGAGCTATAGGCCAGGGTGGATAACTAAGGTTACAAATTAAGATGTCCCATAAGCCATGAAGATTGCAAAGGTTCTTACTTTTGGCAGATTTCAAGTTAAAAAGATTACTTATATGGTTTCACATTTTCAACAAAATGAAGTCACAGCCTTTGATAACTTCACATCAATCCCTTTGTATGTCAAATTGTGACTTTTATGGTATATCATTTGTTCATACCTTTTGAGTAGGTGACATGCTCATTCCACCAATCTTGCTTGCCACATTAAGACCCGGTTGGATTGTCGGGTTGGAATGGATTTGGAGGGATTCGTAATTGAACTCTAATTAAATCCCATGTTTGGTTTGAAGGATTTTCATGGATTTGAATGGAATCCCACAAACATAGGATTTCAAAATCCCATGGGGTGGTTGGTATTTCATGGGATTTTGTATTATTTTTATATAATAATGTTTTTAGAATATGTTAAAAACATTCGTTTTGTAATAATCAAATTAATAAAAGGTAATTTAATAATTTTATTAATTATTTATAATTTGTTTTTATAAATAATGAAATTCAATTCCATGCATTCCAAATCTTTCCAATTCCAAATCCTTCCACAAAATCCAAATCCCTCAAACCATTTCGTCAAACCAAACGTCCTCTGAGTGTCCCTTTGGGGATAATATTATAGTGGTTGAGCTGTGTCGGCACTAAAAAGCTAGGATACTGGTACACAGCATGTAGATGAACCGGCTTGGGAAATTTGACAGGGATACATGTAGAATTATTACAAATAAATGTATATGCATAACATTGATAAAATGGGTGCATACAATAGAACTCTAAAACAATCTAAAAATTCTTTCCTTTTATTGAGAATTGTGACCAAGAGATTTGCTTGGTTTGATATATGAAATTTCATCTGGAATACAGACTTTCATAGTAAAACTTAAGAATGATGCACCCAGTGTTGATATACTGAAGTCTTAGAGATTTTTTTTTTGTTCTTAATGTATCTCTTTTTAATTATTGGCCACACGTTGTAAAATGGGAGGAATCCTCGATGGTGTCACTCTGTAACTAGTCCACCTTGTTACGGCCTTCTGGCAAGCATTACGTTTTCAGCACATTTGTGCCCCCATCTTAGTTTATTGGTTCTCTGGATGCTAGTTCTGTGTTTGCCAAGTGTTTTTCTTCATTCTTTTATGGGCTTATTTTTGAGATCTTACAATGTGAAAGCTTTGGTTGAAACTATATACCATAGTATTTGATTAAATTGTGATGCTACTAGTGATTATATAGCATTACCATTATTATGCATGACATTTAAAAGTCATTCACCAATCAGAAGAAACCTATTTAGTATGCCAGATTGGAAAAATCTTGTGACAACCAAGTGATGGTATGTGTGTGTGTATAGAGAGAGAGAGACTCAGGTTCACGGGAACCCCAAAAAAATAGAAATACGAGGAACACCTTAAGAACCATTCATGTGTAAAATATGCATATGTGCATAAAAGTAATTAAAATTGTTTCCTAGTTTCTATGCAGATGTGCTTTTTATGCTAATGTGCATGCCAAACAAATTACTTTTATACACATGTGCATACCATAAGGATGAATGTTTATTAGGTTGTTTCTCTGTTTTTCATTTTTTGTGGTTTTCCCCTAAACCCGACTCTAGTGGTTGCAGTTATTTCATCTTGTAGAGAGGACTCAAGTTATATCAACACTTTGCTTTGATAATTTGTGTACACAAGTGCTGTAATATCTGAAATAACCATGGAAATATAACAGAATGGACTTCTTTACACTGGTGGAGAAGACAAGAATCTCACAGCATGGGACACAGTCAGTGGGAAGGTTGCATATTGCATCGAGGATGCACATTCAGCTCGTCTAAAAGGAATAGTAGTGCTTTCTAAGATCGATGGGACATCCGATGATGAACCATTCTTGGTAGCATCTGCCTCTTCAGATGGTATCATACGTGTTTGGGACGTCCGTATGGCCAATAAGGCAAAGCCAAATCCGTTGGCTGAGGCTAATACGAAGTCTAGACTCACTTGTCTAGCTGGATCTTCCATTAAATGTGAGTTTCCAAGACTTTCCTCTTTTGGTTTTGTGGTAATGAACACATGTTACCATGTAATTTGTTTCCTGCTACAACAAAAAGGTGGATGGAGGGTGCAATCATACACCACCGGATCCCATCAGAACTCCGTAGTTAAGGTGGATGGAAATGCCAGCCTCACTTCCATCCCGAATTGCTTAGTGAACTTTTTGTCTTCTATTGTACTCCCTCTGTCCCAAAATAAACGCCCACATTAAAAAAGATGCATAGTTCTAGAAATATGTAATTGATATGGGATGTATTACTGACTAACGAGATCGATATTTTCATTTTCAGCTATGAAGAGGAAAGAGGAGCAGCAGCAGCAGCAGCAGCAAGAGGAGGAACCAAAAGGGTTGTAGTGTGTTTTCATTTTTTATTGAATTGTTTGACATGTAAAACAATGGGCAGGTGATTTTGTTGCTAATTATATTACAAAAAGCTGGTTCTCGATTTCTTGGTGGTAGAGGTAAGATCTGCAGAATTAAACCATACGTTGTTCCGTGTGAGATTTACTGAGTTTGTTTGGTTTACAGTGTTCTTCCACGTATTTATGGTTCCATGGACGTTCAAAATAACTAATGTGTTTTTCTTAATTGAGCAATGGTAACGGTTTTAAGTCGAATCCGAGTCTATAAGCTAGCTTAATCGAGCAACGGTAACCATTCTAAGTCCTCGGAACGATTTGAAGCTTAACGCGAAAGCTCTATTTGGATGGACATAACCGTATTACTAAAACGCTTGTTCACTCTAATTAGAACCTTGACATGTTCTGAAAACTTTTTGCCCTTTTGTTCCAAGTGTATCTTAATATTATTTAGTTACTGGAAAAGTCTAAAAAACCTCAATGAATTTTTGTGTTTTGATTGATTAAGTTTTTGGATATTTTAGAACTTGTTAAGTAACTTCTTGGATTTTCTAAAACCTGTTGGATACATTCTTATGACTTATAAACCTGATTAATGTGGTAAAATAATAGAAAAATCCTGAAAAAGCCAATGAACTTTCATATTTTGAGTAATTAAGCCTCTAAACATTTTTTAAACAAAAAAAAGTACTTACATATATAAAATAAAGGGAAAAGTACAATAAAAACCAATGGACTTTCTTGTTTGGAATGATCAAATCCTTAGATTTTTTTTTGGAACAAATAAGTCTTTGGACATTCCAAAACATGTTAAATAAGTTCTTGGACAATTTTTTGGAACAACTAAGTCCTTGGACATTCCAAAATATGTTAAATAAGTCCTTGGACAATTTTTGGAACAAATAAGTCCTTGGACAATTTTTGGAACAAATAAGTCCTTGGACATTCCAAAAAATGTTAAATAACTCCTTGGACAATTTTTGGAACAAATAAGTCCTTGGACATTCCAAAAAATGTTAAATAACTCCTTGGACAATTTTTGGAACAAATAAGTTCTTGAACAATCCAAAACATGTTAAATAACTTCTTGAACTTTTATAAAACATGTTGGATACATTCTTATGACTTGTATAACTAGTTAAAGTGGTAAAATAGTGAAAAAAAAACCCCAATGAACATTAATATTTTGAACGATAAAGTGGTAAAATAGTGAAAAAAATCCGGAAAAAACCCCAATGAACATTCATATTTTGAACGATAAAGTGGTAAAATAGTGAAAAAAATCCGGAAATATATTTTGTCAGTGATTTTTTAAACTAAAAAAAATTATAAAATATATTATTTTTAATTAAAATAAATTTCATCAGTAATNAAATAAAATCATTATTGCTTTCTTAAAAACACATAAAATCGTATTATAATATCGACATTGACAAATAATAAAATAGAACATTAAAATCAAGATGTATCTCGCTGCATTGCGCGAGTACTCTTTTAGTTAAATAAAACTAGGTTTGACGGCTTAATTACATAATTGAGATTGCAGAACATGAAGAAATTGCCAACAATAAGGCTCCGGGGGAGGCTTTGACATGGGAAGACCTTACAAAGATGAAGTACACATGGAGAGTAGCGTCCGAGACGATGAGGATAAACCCTCCTGTGATTATATCCTTTCGGCGAACTGTGCAAGATATCGAGTATGGAGGGTACATGATTCCAAAAGGATGGCAAGTACGTCAAATAACCCATAAAAATAAACATGTGATAGAAAATACGATTGAAAAAACTGCTTACTTGAATTTGCATACTGTATTTTTTAGGTGCTACTGTGTTCATCAATGACACATATGGACAATAACATTTTTCAAAACCCGACAACGTTCAATCCAACCCGTTTTGAGAAAACCGCACCGTCGCCGCCACCTTTTAGTTTTGTAGCGTTTGGAGCAGGGCCAAGGATGTGTCCTGGGGCCGAGCTTGCGAAAATGGAAACTTTAGCCATGATCCATCGCCTGGTGACACAATTCACATGGGTTCTTCTTGACAAAGACGAACCCTTCAAGAGAATCCCAATGCCAGAATTCGACAAAGGATTGTCAGTTCAGATCAAGCCCATAAAAGCAGCATCGACGTCATCCGAAGCTACGATGTAGGTAAGATCTGATTCAATAATATTGTTATGATAAGCTGTATTTGTTCAAAACAAATACAATTTACCCACAATCACATATCTGCCTCAAAGTGTTCTTATTCGATAGTAAATTATGATATTTGTTATGCATGAAGTCACAAGTGCTGAATCGAGCCCTAGAGTCACGTGCACTTAATTTAAGGACTTAATAGACACGATTAGATCAGATGTCATTTGTGGTATGTTTTTTTTCATATGAACATAAAAATGGACTGTATTTTCGTTGGATGCCCTGATACTTGAATTTTAGAATATAAAATAGAATCAAGTAATATTTGTCACTATCTGTTATCTATCTTTTTATTGTAACGAGAAAACTGATAAAAATTATAAAATAATAATAATAATGTCCTTTAAAAAACCTTTTGTTTATATTATACGACTTTTCATGTTGTCGTAAGGTCGTTAAATGAAAAAAAAAAAAGGTCAAAGCATCTCCAAAAAATTCTATATTTTGCTTCACGAGATTCTCTGAACTATTTTAAAAAATAGAGAAAATAAAATAATACTTCAAGTTTAAAGAATTTTTTAAAATTTAAGATTTGAATTATTATTGTTTTATATATAAAAAAAATTAAATTATATTGAGATGATAAAATTACATAACATTTTTATAATAAAGTTATTGATTAAATTCTAAAATATCTGTCGAAACTAATTTTTTTTTTTAGAAATTTTGACTTTTAATATTTAGTTTAAAACAATTATAAAAAATCTGATAGAAATACCATACCTGACTAAGGTATTTTGATAGCATGTATGAGAATAGAGTTTGCGATTTAATTTATAATACTAATAACATGGTGATTTGAGATCACATGAGACGAGTCTGTTTTCGTGAGATCGTTTTTTTACACTTGAAACTTTACATCAAAACGCTGTGAAGGTAACCTTCACAGTGTTTTTGCTGTGAAAGTTCGGTTTTTATTTTATTTTATCTTCACAACGTTTTATTGTGAAGTTTCAAGTGTAAAAAAGTGGTTTCACATATCTTACGAAAACAGACTAGTCTCACATGAACACAACCCTAACATGGTTATATTAAGTTTCATAAAATAAATATAACATTTAATTTGTCTTAATAAAAAATATCAAAAAAATTATTAATTTTAAGTAGAGTTGATTACAAATTGTGTTCATATGGTTTGTTCAAAAATTTTGATTCATATCCCTGAGATTCATTTATTATTTGCATTTCTGGAATTGGATAATTCGTGTTATGGACGTTAAGCTCCCCCTGCCCTTCATATGAGGGCATTTTTGCCATTTTATCCTTTCTTTTGTGTTTTTTTACTGTACAAGTATATAAAACGTGTGTACTAACAATTGAATGTGCGTGACATTTTAGGGATAGCGACAACCACGGTAGATAGGAGAAGATAAGACATCAACGTCTCCAAAACCACTACAACAACAGTATCAAATACCCATCCATCTTGAATCTTGTATTTGCTTCTGGTTTTTTAATGAAAAGTTGTTCCTACTTCTGTTGCAGCTACATGATCTGAATCTTCCTCTAGCTATGAATTTAGGTTCTTTTAGCTTAACGGAATTAGGTTGGATGAGTCTGTTGCATATTATGCATGCAGTGATACCAATACAGACCTAACCCTCCTTTGTATGAAAGGGAAGTCGTTGAACCCTGGGGGGGGGGGGGGGTTGACAGGGACCAAAACAACAAAAAAGTATAAACCACAAGAACCAGAATACCAGTAAATTAATAAATTGTAAGAACGAAAATAACCATGAATTCCAAACCATAAGGATGAATATCATAATTTCTAAACTAAAAGGATGAAAAGGAAAAAATCTAAAAAAAAAACTCAATGGACTTTAGTGTTTGGAATGAATAAATCATTGGATAATTTTTTGGAACAAATAAGGCATTGAACATTCCAAAACCTGTTAAATAACTCATTGAAATTTCTAAAACATGTTAGATACATTTTTATGACCAATAAAACTGGATAATGTGATAACATAGCAGAAAAAGTCTGAAAAAAGCCAATGGATTTTCATATTTTAAACGATTAAGTCTCTAAATATTTTTTGAACCAAAAAAGTATTACGTCTATAAAATAAAACAAATATATAAAAAGAGTATTTACATTTTAAAAAATTATTGATAAAATTTATTTTAATTAAAAATAAAAAATATTTTGTCAGTGATTTTTCAAATTAAAAAAAAGAAAGGATTTTTAAAAAAGATTACTGAATAAATTTATCTTAATTAAAAATAAAATATATTCCGTATATGATTTCTTAAATTAAAAAAAGATTTTTAATTAAAAATAAAGTATATTCAATATATGATTTCTCAAATTGAAAATAATAAAAAAGAAAAAAGGATTACTGATGAAATTTATTTTAATTAAAAATAAAATATATTCCGTTGGTGATTTTTCAATTTAAAAAAATAGAAAATAATGTAATTAAATTACTGATGAATTAACAATGAAATTTAACTAAATATATAATAATTTAAAATTTGTCGCTAGTGTTATTTGGTATATATAGATTACTTATATCTGGCTAACTTGACCATTGTCAATCGTTCTAACACGGTAACATGTTAACAAGTGTGAAAGATCTTTTTTAAATCTTGTCAGTGATATCATTTCATCGATGGATTAGCGACGAATTTTAATTAATTATGTATTTGGTTAAATTTTATCGTTAATTAGTCAGTAAATTAATGAATTTATTACTTATTTTTCTAATTTAAAAAATACTAATAAAATATATTTATTATTAATTAAAATAAATTTTATCAAAAATCTTTTTTAAATGTAATTTTTTTACAAATATAAGTACTTTTTTGGTATATTTGTTTCATTTTATAGATCTAAGTACTCTGTTAATGCAAAAAATAAAAAATATTTATGGACTTAATCGTTCAAAATATGAATGTCCATTGATTTTTTTTCAGACTTTAGTGTTTATCACATTAACCATTTGTATAGGTCATAATAATGTATCTAACAGATTTTAGAAAGTTCAAGAAGTTATTTAACATGTTTTAGAATGTCCAAAGACTTATTTGTTCCAAAAACTTAATCATTCCAAACATTAAAATTCATTGGGTATTCTTAGAATTTTCCTTTTAATTATTGATTTGCCATATATTAATTAATATTTAATTATTAATTTGTTATATTAACTAATATTTAATACTTAACTTACAAATATTAAGTATTTAATTATGAATGATTTCATATTTTGTCTATTAAATATTACTCATAGGTTTTATTTTTAACAAATTATTAACACATGAAAATAACTAAAAATCTTACCCGATAAACATAATGACAATTGGCAACAACTAAAAATCTTATCTAATAAATAATAGTATTAAATTTTACAGATAAACAACTTATCAGTACAAATTTTACTAAAGTTGTTATTTATAAGAGTTGGAAAGTGAATGGAAGTACAGCCATGTGCCTGCCCATCATAAGCTTTTGTGGATTCACGGATAGGGAATCTTTCTCTCAACACCTATAAAACCACATATGATATGGTGCTGTCCAAACAATTTTAACCTTTTCTTTGATAAATAGCAATTTATGAATTAATTATTAATTGTTTTTATATTCTTATTTTTGTATCTATATATAATAATAGTATTCGTCAAATAATTGACTTTCAATAAGACAAAATATAGACACCAATAAATGTTTGGTTTATAAATATCTTTCACTTATTTTAAATGAGACCAGTCTGTTTTCATGATATCTGTGAGACCATTTATTTACATTTGAAACTTCATAGCAAAACGACATATGAATCGTTGATATGTAAGTTTAACTTTTAAAACCCGAACTAAAATTTTGAAGTACGTAAGTTCGACAAAACGACATATAAATCGTTTGAAATAAAATTTTGTAGGAAAGTTCGTGTGGATGCAAGGCGTGATTGTGCTTTAAAAAGTGAAACGGTCAAAAAATTTAGACGTTTTCATAAATGTTATCATCTGAACCTCTATGTAAAGGAATTTAGGGGTTGTTCGGTTTGTTTTTTGTTAATACTTGTATGGACATAGTGGTCTGTATGTTAAAAAATAAGTTGTTGTTTGGTTGTTGTGCTGAATAAACAGTTTGAATGTTAGAAATGAACGTTTTACTCCCAGTCTATATTTTACTTTTATTAGACTTTTATATATTTTACACAACAGACCCACATCCCTTACATCACACCAAACACCACCGTCACCACCAGCTTTCTTGAACCTGTCAAGAGGAACTCCATCACCGCACCATCACCAAACAATTCCCCTTTCCGTTCCTGTTGGTTGAAACTCCACAGTAATTGACAACATAGAAGAACAATCGAAAACCACAACCGATGAACGAGATGATGAACAATTGATTGTTTGTAGAAAAACGAAACAGACGAAATTTGGAGGACCTGGTTGTTTTCTGAGATGATTTTGATGAACGACGGGCTTGTTTGATTAAGAAATGGATGGAGGATTAAGTGTGAATAACCGGTTGGCGGGAGAAAATCAGCGACGACAGATCTCGACAAAAGCTCAAGTCGAAGGAAGGTGAGTTGATGTACGGTGGTTTTTGTTTGTTGGAAAGCAAATTCGTGAAGACGAAATCAAAAACGTCCTCCATTAGAACATGACTCTTCACTGATGGAAACACAAAGAAATCAAAAACCTGTGATGGATGGTGAGAGGCAGAATCAATGGAGTATTGAGAGAGGAGCAGTGGTGGAGTGTTGAGGGAGAGTGGTAGTTAGGGGAAGTTAATGGTTGAATACAAATGACACAGGTTTTGTAGCTGACCAAATCAGGCATGAGCTAACCAAATACGCCATATGACTATGCGAATAAGCCATATGACTTATACCGAATACCGAATAGCTAGATATGACTATGCGAATAAGCCATATGACTTATACAGCCCATTAAGTCGCAATCACACAACCTAGTTTCAGTTGGATTCAATTCGCTCCATTTTAAAAACCAAACAATTATAAGATCTAAGTAAAAAAAAATGTTATTTTAATTATGTTGGAATCCTCTTAAAAAACACTCTTCAATCTCTTTTAATATATATATATATATATATATATATATATATGTGTGTGTGTGTGTGTCTGTGTGTATGTGTGTGTGTGAGAGATGGAAATCTATAGCTTGTATTTGGTATTCTGTTATTTGATGATTTATGTGTCATAAAATATTTGTTGTAATAAATTTTATATATATATATATATATATATATATATATATATATATATTTAAAAAAATCAAATAAAATCCATAAAATATTGAAAACTATGAAAACCATTTCATATGTTAAGGTTATGTCTGACAAACTAGCTGATGACTTATAAGGTAGTTGATATCTACTAAGTTTGCTGATAAATAAATTATATTTGACAAAAACTAGTTAATAAACATGTAAAATGATCAAACAATGCATCTTAAAAAACTAGTCAATTCATTTCATAATATAATTCCCGAATAGGAAGAAGGGGGTTAGCCAAACAACTGTCCACTTTGTATGTTTGCTGAACAGACCAATTAGACATTTTTTAATCAGATCTATCCCCGGAAAAACCTGTACTTAAAGGTGTAAGCAAATAATATAAATAAAATAAATTCTAATAGTATAAAATGTTAATTAATACAAATAAAATAGAAAAAAAATTAAATAATATAACATGTCATTGAAAGAATTTAAAATTGAGTATTATATATACTATNTGGTGTTTGGATAAGAAAAAAATTGCTTATACCGGTGCCAAACCGGTAATAAGTTGTTTTTGATAAGTTAATCCTTCCTGACTTATGAAAAACTGCTTATTACCAGTTTATAATTTTAACCCTGTTTTATTTAACTCCGGTTTGATACCACATAAGTTAATAAGCACTTTTACAAAAAAAGTATAAGTTGTTTTAAATAAGCAATCCCAAACACCCCCTAAGTCATAAGAATGTAGCTAACAGGTTTAGAAAGCCTAAGAAATTATTTAATAGGTTTTGAAATGTCCAATGACTTATTTATTTCAAAAAATTGTCTAAGAACTTAATCATTCCAAGCACTAAAGTCACTGAGTTTTTTTAAACTTTTTCCGGATGAAAATTGTAATTTTTAACAAAACACATGGAAGAAAAAGCGTAATTTACTCCAAAAATGTAACATCCGACCTTTTAAATATGTTCAACTAGTGATTCTAAATATGTATTATATGTTAAAACATGTTTTATGTGTTAATTGTGTAAAAAAATAATTTGTTAAATGTCAAGTGTATTAGTGAGTTATAAGTAGAACCCACACTTAGAATGAGATGTAGGAGGTATATTTGGTGCTAACACCTCACAAATGACATAATTAGATGATGTGAGGGTTCAAAATACAAAGTACATTGCCTAAATAGAAATCAGGTAGGTAACTCGAGTGCCTAAAGAGAAAAAATCTACCCAAAACTTGAACAGATGATCTAAACGGTGATATAAAGGTTGTAACACCTTTTAATAAGTTAATATGAAGTGTTAGAAGTGGCGGAAGTCGAACAAGTCGCGTAGATTGCATTTTATGTAAGTTTTACAAATTACGTTGTTATTTAGGTAAACTATGTGCATAACACTCAAAAGGGAGGTGTTTGATGAGATGTTAAGCTTTGGAATTAAGTTTTGGACCTATTAGGAGTTGTTGGAAACTTTTTACGGGATTCCGAGCTCAAAATCAAAAACGAAAAAATTGCAAAGGGAAACATAACACTTACAAATATGTAAAATTGTTTTTATTTGGAAGGTATTTTCTGGAATATTTTTATTGAAAGTTATATATTATCTTGTTACAACACGTAGACGAAAACCTCATAAAAAACGGAGGTCCGAGTGAAGTTATGATTTTTTTTAGTGTTATGTGATCGAAATGGATGATGGGTCAACCCAACCAGGTCATCCCAATCCAAAACGAGTTTAGTTAGAGAAAAAACCCGATTTGATGTGAATTTGATAATATCTTAGTATTTTGAGTAGATTATGGTGTAATTTTGAGGTTAAGTGGGATAAAACAGGGCTAGAACACAGTGATGTAATAGGAAAACTAAAGTATGAAAGTTAACTAGTCATGGGGTTAAATTTAGTTATATGCATCCAATGCTCAAGAAACTTATGAGTCGTTTACCAAATACTTACCGAGTAGGTGCTTACCGGTAAAATTTAACACTACTATTTACCTACCGCGTAAGATTTTAGTCCACCAAAACGACATAGCATATAACAATTTACATGGTAAGCGCTTACCGTGGTAAGAGTCGTCACTCTCACTTACTGGGTAAGACTCTTGGTCCTTGTCTCGCTCTTACCGGGTAAGATTCTTGGTTCGTACCATATTGATCTGGTGAGGTAATTTGACTTGATAAGCGTTTACCCGGTAAACGTTTGGTAAACGTCCCCTTTGGTGTACATACTCCATGGGATATTTGGAGTTTGTTTGATGCTTCTAGAAGGTATCTTAGTGTGTAAACACGAGGTTCGGACGTAACCTCCATTATAGCTTTCGTTTGGTAACAATAAAAGCTCGGTGAGTTAAATGTTTATTCAAATTATACTGTATTACGTGTATACATGTATATCTTTTATGTTTACATGATTTGAATGTCCTCTGAATTTGTTGATTTGGTATTTGGTCAATCATGTACGTTGGTCTTTAGATTGAGATTCCTCCTCATTATCGGTCGATTTTCATATTCAAATTCTGTTGGTTTTGTTTCTTTGGTATCGTACTACTTTTTGTGGTATGCCGGAAGCAAAGGTGGATGTCAACAGCTCAGGTGAAGAGGGGGAGCCGGTGAGACATTCGTGTGTTGTACTCTTTGTCTAATGGTTCGTAGGGGCATGAGTACGAGACTCGGGCATACCCGGGAGATGAAGGCGTGTCCCTGTTAATCCTTGGTATTCTATTTGGTTATGCATAAGGGCTTGGGCATACCTGGATGATGACTGTGGGTCCCTGCTAGTCCTATGCATTATGTTTGATGTGTTGTGGATATATGATATGTTGATATATTTGTTATGCTTGATTTTCATGGAACTCTTACGAGGGGAGATTATGTATGTTATGACTAATGTTTCAAAACGTGTTTATGGTATGACATCGTTGATATGTTTGGATTCTTACAAATTGATCATTTGAATCGTTTTTTTTAAGTATATAATATTTATATACGACAAATGCAACAAATAAACTCGCATACCCTCCTCACCGTTGGGGAGGTTTGAACTCTTGCCCTCCTAGGAGGCCAATGATTACGATACCGCTAGGCCGAAGGCCCTTTGGTATGATCATTTGAATCGTTATTGTTGATTTATTATGGTATGTCTTGGTATGTGTATGGATGAACGATTTCTCTTATTAAACATGTTTTCGGTTCGTTTTCTTACGGTGTATATATATATATAATGTTAATATTCTTTGTTTAGTTTATTTAATTCACTAAGCCCCGTTCATTTGTCTCTGTAATTTGCAATTCATAAGGACTCAAATCATAAATTTTAACAAACCACAAGGACTAAAATCGTAATTTACTCTAAAAACTTATGTTAAAAATATTACAGAGGTCAATATGAGATCGTTATCTTACTTTCAAATAATATGATTGGCTACAACATGTCACCACCGTCTCTGATTGGTGCGTGTCATTCACGCGCCTTAAAAAACAATTTTCATCCCTCTAGTTTTAAAATTACAAGATGGTCATCATGACTTGCAAAAACGTTCAAATTTGGTCCTCTCTTTAACGATCATTAAAGTAATTCGTTACAAGAAGGATATTTTTGTTCCTTTATTGATCTTTGTCTTTTACTCAATCAAAAAACATATGACCGAAAAATCATGTAATTGATTTTGATTGGATAAAAAACAAAAAAATCGATAAAGTGACGGATTATTTTAATGGTTGTTTAAAATAAAGGACCAAATTTAGACGTTTTATAAACTATGATGGTTAACTTGTACTTTTGAAACTTTAGGGACAAAAAGTGTTATTGTTGACAAACCAAAGGGACTAAATTTGCTATTATATATACAAGAGACACTTTCGTTGAATGCTTTTTTAATTTGTCAGTGGATTATTTGTGCATATATCATCTTGTACCTTTCTCTCTCTAAAATTCCCCAGATCCGTCTCTTTCTCTCTCTAGATTCTTCGAGTTCTTTATATATAATCCCAATTCCCATCGCTGATTGTCGAGATTAGAAGTTGGAGGCTCGGTTTTTAGTGTTTATTTTGAAGAATTCAGGGTTAAAAATGGCGCAAGCTGTGGAGGATTGGTACAAACAGATGCCTATTATTACTCGTTCGTATCTCACAGCTGCAATTGTTACAACAATTGGTTGCTCCCTTGAGGTGATTTGCCTTTAATATTTCTTATTCTTTGTGCATTTTTTGGTTAAAGTTTTTCGATTTATTGGGGGTTTTGGAAATGGTTGTATGCTGATTAATGGGTTTAAAGGGTTTGATCGTTTGTTTTGATTTTGTGTATCAAATAAAGATGTTTAATTTCCCCAATTCGATTATTTGATTATGTTAATGGTTCAAAGATGAAGATTCTAGGGTCTATTTGTTTACAATGTTTTGAAATTTTAACAATTTTGTTGGCGTAAGTGCATCGGTGGTGTAAGGGATCGGTTTCATTAAATTGAAGGGTTCAATTTGTAGGTTTGATTTGTGAAGTAAGATGAACATGTTTTTTTTTGGTTGCTATTGTGCATTGAATTCAGGAATTAAATTGGTACGAAAAAATAGAAGGGCTCCATTCAAGGGTTGTTCCCATTTGGGTTGTTTATTTATCTTTCTTTTGGGGGGAAATTGAACAATTATGTTATCTCAGTTTCTCTAGGATTTCTGGGCATTTGAATTGTGTTAAGAAATTTATTGCATGATTGATTAGCGGTTTACGTGGAGGTTTTTAAGTGTTTATTGATTGATATGGTACTTGTTGTATGATGATAAAAGTAATTGAGAATAAGAGTTAAATAATTTTGTGTGTGATTTTGGCCTTTTGGGTCCAATCTATGATTTACCTGCATTGAAACAAGGATGGGACTTGTGAAATGGAGGATGGAGAACATAAGGAAATGATATAAATGAAAAGAAATTATTTGTTGAATCATCCATGAAGTTGCACCTAGTTTCTGTTCATTCCAATGATGATTTTATTGTGGTTTGTTCGATAAATATGGAAGCCGTGGCTTGAAGATACTAGAATGTCCATTAAACGTGATTTGTTTAACGTTTTGCAGATCATCTCGCCGTATAACTTGTACTTGAATCCCAGACTTGTCGTTAAGCAGTACCAAATCTGGCGGCTGATCACCAATTTCCTCTATTTCCGAAAGATGGGTAGGCATTCTTGCACATATTTTCAACCAACTTTGGTTTTTTGTTGTCATAGAAGCAAGAAGGATTGTAATTTGTGGCTAACATGTCTAAGAAACAGCGGAATTGTGATGATACCCTCTAAAGTTTTCCTTTTTTTCTAATCTTATGAATGAGGAACCATGTATGGGGACTATGTTCCTGGGGCAGGTTCTGTTAGGAACCCGGGAACCGCCCACTTCTATATTCATCATGAATGTGTTATTCATGATTAATATTCATCCTAAAGAGGGACAAGTGGCGTGTTGTGGTCGGTTCCCTAGTTCCTGATGAATTTTGGGTTCCTAACGGAACTTTTATCCACTGTTCCCATCTGATTTAACCAGGAAACAATGTGCTTGTTGCTTGTTTGTACCGGTTCTGCTTGCACTGTATTGAAGTCTAACTAGAAGGTTGTAATTTTCATGGTACGGAGAGACTATTTTTGTCTGTGTTCCATGTGTTTGTATATGAGCTTATGTTGGGTTCTTAACAAGTTTATCAAATTTCAGTTTTTTAGGAATAAAGAAATTGTTTAGGCTATGTTTGGTAAATTAGCTTATAAGCTAGCCATTGGCTCAGAAACTTGTTGATAGGCTAGTTATGTTTGGTAAAAACAAGCTGATAAGCTAAATGACAATGTAAAATGACTTAATTGGGCTTGTTGAAAAATTAACTGGAAAAAAAAGAAGGGGTATAATTGGAAAAAAAAGGTGGAAAAAATCCCTTGTAGCTTATTGAAATGCTACTTAGGGGCTGTTTGGTTGGTTTGCATTGACATGTATGGATAAAGCTGTCCGTGTGGATTAATTAGTTATTATAGATTGGGAAGGTTTTTGTTTGGGAGAGTTTTTCATAGATGGAAGGTTTGTGTTTCTTAATTGGGAGGGGGCCAGGTTGGGAAAAACTTGACTTTTTTTCATAAACCTCCCCCCTAGAAGCTTACTAAGCAAGTCATGTTCTATATCATTAAGCCACTACCAAAGAGTCATGTATAGCTAACCGATTAAGCTGCAAGTCACATTGCACTCATTAAGCTGCTAACAAACAAACCCTTATAGTAGTGTTTCAATAAGCTGCTTATGACCAACGACAGAGCTTTTTCAATAAGCTTAAAAAAAGCTAGCTTATGGTTGCCAAAAATGGCCTAACTAAATGCATTCTCATTTCTTGCCCTTTATGATGATAACTTCTTCGTTTTACAGACTTGGACTTCCTGTTTCATATGTTCTTTCTGGCTCGATACTGCAAACTTCTAGAAGAAAATTCCTTCAGGGGAAGGACTGCGGATTTCTTTTATATGCTCTTATTTGGTGCGACCGTCTTGACCAGTATCGTACTTGTTGGAGGGATGATACCTTATGTATCGGAATCTTTTGCTAAGATCATTTTTCTTAGCAATTCACTGACTTTTATGATGGTAATTCGTTAACTTCGTTGTATCTACATTATTCATGTCTCAAAACATTCTAGAACAACTTGAGTTTAAAGTTTTGTTTTCTTTATTTTTCCTCACGTCTTAGGTTTATGTCTGGAGCAAGCAAAATCCGTTTATTCATATGAGCTTCTTGGGCCTCTTTACTTTTACCGCGGCTTACTTGCCATGGGTGAGTTCTTGTTGATTTATATATATATATATATATATATATATATATATAGAGAGAGAGAGAGAGAAGGAGGTTCAAGGGGAAACCCCCAAAAAAAATGAAAAACTGAGGAACGCCCTGGTTAGCATTCATCTGGACGGTATGGGCATGTGCATGCAAATAGCTGTTTCTTGGTTTTTGTTCATGTTAATGCACATGTGCATACCAGACAAATTACTTACATATTATTTCGTATGCACATGTGTATACCGTCTAGATGAACGATTATCAGGGCGCTCCTCAGTTTTTCATTTTTTATGGTTTTCCCTTGAACCTGACCCTATATTTATAAATCAATCATATCTACTTATGTAGGCTATGTTTTGTAAACTAGCTGGTGGCTGATAAGTCGACTGATAAACTAATCATGTTTGATAAAAACTATCCATTTGACATAAGCATATGGAGCCTTATACATTGCATATATGTTTAACATGTGAAGTTTTTGTATGTATTGATATTGTAATGGGTCTGATTATAAGAAGTTTTAACCTAGCAATGGAAGGTCTTTCTATTCCTAGATTTCGGGGATATATGATTCATTTGAGTTTAACCGCTTTGCTCTTTGGGGTAAAGGCCAGGTCTGCATACATCCCATCCCACCCCACCTTCGGATGGGGACATACTGGGTTTGTTTGGTTCGATTTCATCTCTAAACTTCTTGAATCCGCTGCAGGTTTTATTGGGCTTCTCTGTTCTTGTTGGTGCTAGTGCTTGGGTGGATCTACTTGTAAGTCCGTAATATTTTCCGTAAATGTTTATGTTTGAAAGTATATAATATTTATCTACAGTAAAACTCGCACACACACTCTTCATCCTTGGTGAGGCTTGAATCCTTAAATTCCGGGAATCTGGATTAATTACCAAAGATAATTAGGGAGCGTTCGGTTTGATAGAATGTTTTTTAGGAGTTTGGATTTCGTGGAAGGATTTGGTATCCTTGGTTTGTAAGATTTGGAATGGAATTGAATTCCGTTATTTATAGATAATTTATAAAAACAAGTTAAAAATGATTAAATTGCCTTTTATTAATTGGTTATTACAAAACAAATTCTTTTATCATATTTTAAAACATTATTACAAACAAATCCTATGAAATCCCGTGTACCAACTATCCCATGGGATTTCTAAATCCAATGTTTGTGGGCTTTCATTGAAAACACGGGATTTCAATTCTGGACTTCCTTCCAAACCAAAAATGGTATCGGAATGGAATCCAATTCCAAATCCCGCAAACCAAACGGACCTTCTTGGGATTTACGAGTAATCCAAGTACCACTGAACCAATGACCCTCTGATAACTTCTTAACGTTTTTCACTCTATCTTTATGGTTTATTTGTTGAACGATCCAGGGAATGATCGCTGGCCACGCTTACTATTTCCTGGAAGATGTATATCCAAAAATGACAGGCCGTCGACCCCTAAAAACCCCATCATTCATCAAAACATTATTTGCCGATGAAGCAGTTGTAGTAGCACGGCCTGCGGAAGTGAGATTTGCGGCCCCACCGGTTGATGGAGTCAGACGATGAACGGAAAAGAAGTCGAAACTGCAGAAGTTCTTGTAGAAATCTTTTTTGTTTCTAGAGATCAGGTGGCATGCTAGCTTTACTTTACACTTCAAAATGCACATAACTTTGGTGATGTTTTTGTAAGTTGTTCGTGTAAAGAAATGCTGAGATATAGTAAGTTTACAATATGGGTATTATTCTTTATCAACTTTTTGCCTACAAATCTTTTGTTATTTATTTGGTGGTTCCATCAGTTCAGTTTGGTACATGAGACATGACAGTATAAAAATCCGTCTTATATTTTTTAGGGTGTGTTTGATACACTGAGTAAGATACAGAGTAGAACAGAGATACTGTTTCATCATTGTTTATATTTTATCTAATCTTTAAATTTTATTTATTGTATTTTATGCTCTTTTAGATTTTCATTTTACTATCCTCAAAATATTGTTTTTATATTTTGGTTGATTTATGTAATTTATTAAATATTAATTTGATAAAATAATTATAATATAAAAAAGGTATAAAATAAAAATTGAAAACTACACAAACATTTTATTTTGGTGACGTTTTAAGCATCTTGATGAAATTTTTTTAATAATATATTTTGTTATAAAAAATATTCTTTTTATGATTTAAAAAATTAATCAAAATATATAAAAGATATAAATAACTCATTAGGGGTAAATTGGTTATTTTACCAGTTCTGTCTTGTCTCATTCTATCTTACCAAATGTTGAACAACTGTTTTGTCAAAGACGTTAGACTGGGATATGACAAAACTTCGCATTTTTTTATGTCCCGTCAAAAAGGGTGGAACAAAGATCATGAGAAAAAAATAGGTAAATTACCAAACTACCTATGTTAAATTAAAACTTTTTTGAATTCTTTCATTCACCTATTGGCTCTCACACATTCAGTTCGGTCCAGTCTCGTTCGCGTACCAATTGCACCCTCTTTGAAAATCAACTGTTTAAGCCTCACCAAAGGTTAGGAGTGTGCATTGAGGGTCCCAGTTAAGAAAATTTGACGACAAGTCAATTGGGATGCGTTTGGTATCAAAGGAAGACATACCAAAACAGTTATTCAGCATTTGATAAGACATAACTGGACATAACAGATAATATAACAAACTACAGAGAGTAAAAGCCAAACCACCCTTGGTTGCACAAATACTTTGATTACATCACTCTTTAACCTTACAATAATGGAAACCCACAAAAAACCCCATGAAGAAATTGATCAAAAATATTTCTCCAATCAAAGTTGCAATCACAATTGCTATTGTAGTTGCGAATCAAAACAAACCGACCCAGTAAATCTTATTTGTAGTTAACTACAGATCGAGACAGCAACATAAATCATCATGCTCAAACCCGGTAGCATCCAATAACAAATCGAACGTAAGCTCTTATGTCGTGGTGAACGGTTATGGTTGCCACTAATGAATAGGGTGGTATTGTGCCGACACTCTCTTGGGCGGCAACTTCCGAAGAATGTAGAGCACGAGAGCCGAGGGGAGGATCTCAACTAGCTGTTCATAAAAGGAAGTCATAAAATGCAAGAGAAATAACTGTATGAACACTGCATGCTCACATGTGTTGTTTCTTTTACGTAACAAGACATATATACACTGATTTTCACAGTTTCTAACTTTTAGACAGTTTCTATATGATTTGCCCTCTAGTACAAAATCTAGTTGTTAGCTAATAAACTAGTAATGTTTGGTAACAATCAGTAGATAAGCTACATGACAATATAAAATGACCTAAAAGGGCATTGTTGAAAAATTAATTGAACAAATATAAGGGGCGTATTTGGAATAAAAGGTGAAATAAAACCTCTGGAGCTTGTTGAAATGTTACTTGAAAGAGCGTTTCAGTGAGCTAGCTTATGTCAAACCAAACGGGCTTTTTGAATAAGCTCAAAAAATAAGTTGGCTTATGGTTGTGAAAGATGGTCTAATATAAAGATCGGGTCTTGGTATTGTACCATGTAGAAAATCAAGTTTAGAACCGGATGATCAAGTACGTCCAATGAAGCTTTTGAATCAAAAGCCGAGAGAACATCCTGCAAATTCGCAAAATAAAGTTCGAACAGATGAGGAAACGTTAAATGCTCTTGTTTGTGATGCACAAAGAAAGAGCCCAAGCCCGGCCCAGGCCCGACCCAAAAAATCCCAGATCTAGTGTGCCAGAAGTCCAGACTAGATGTCAAAGCCCAATCAGACCAAAGTTTTGGGCCTGGAAAAACCCAAGAAATCCCGATCGGGCCCTTTTCAACCCTAAAGCCTGGCCAGGCCAGGCCTAAACAAGCCCGAGCCTTTTTTTCTAATTGAAAACGGGCTTGGAAGGCCCAGACCCAAAAAATCCCGGGCCTTGTGCATCTCTAACCGTGGGTGTCTGGGCCGGCTTGCGTGCACCTCGACTAATCCTATAGGGCCTTGAAGATAACGGTCAATGGCCCTGAGGAGACTCAAACTAACGACCTACGGGAATGGTGTCTTTAAGGAGGTCGGATCTACCAGTAACCCAGATACCACTGAGCCAATGACCGTTTTGGTCACTTATAAAATTTATAGTTGCGGAACATAGATTGCATCTTACCACAAAGCATCTTACAAGAAAACACGTGAAGCATATTCCCGTCACCGATCCAACCTGCAACAATTTAGGACAAGTTACGCCAAGAATAGCGTTTCACTATGTGGCCGCTCTCTATTAAAAGATAACATCCTCAACCATTACGAATTCGTGATGCTAAATTCCGAGTGGCTTTGCTAAATTATCCACACATATTAATGAGGATATTTCCTTCGTCTCAAAATAAATGTCCATGATAAAAAAAAACCAATTTTAGAAATGTGTAATTATTACAGTTTTTGAAGAACTAAATGACAATTTTACCCTCAACAATAGAGGGAGTAATGAATTTCTCCGTCTGATAATTAAGGGTAGAATTGGAAATTAGGCATTTACTTTTGAAAGCGGACACTTATTTTTGGGACGAAGGGAGTAAAGAACATGTCGACTGATAATACAAAGATGGAAACTATTTGTAAAGCAATCTCGAAGAATAAACCGATTAAAACAAGCACCAACCTCGTGAAGTTTCTTTTGTCTCCCTCTAGATTCAATAGGAAACCGTCGAAGCATAAAAAATAACCTAAAAGCATCCGGTATAACAATTTATGAACGTTGAAAAGAAGAAAAACGCAAAGATTTCGGTTCCAATAGTGAATAATACTCCCTCAATTCCAAAATAAGGATCCACTTTCAAAATCAAGTGCCTACTTTTCAATTCTACCCTTAAGTATGAGATGGAGAAATTCATTACTCCCACTATTAATAAGGGTAAAATTGTCATTTAGTAACTAAAGAGCGTAATAATTACACATTTCTAAAAAATATTTTTTTTCGTCATTGACATTTATTATCGGATGGAGGGAGTAACAGAAAGTATTGTAAATGCTTAATAACATTAGCCGAAAAGGTTTTAGAGACTCACCTTCCTCCATAAAGCAGGAAGCCTGCGGCTGCCATAAGCGATACAACTGCAAGATTACGATAGAGGGTCAAGTTTCATTTTCATACACAAAGCTCTAAAGGGTATTTTAGACATTTGACAAATGGTTATTACACAAGGGTATTTTAGACATTTGACAAATGGCTACTACCAAAAGGGTATTTTAGACATTTGACAAATGGKTACTACCAAAAGGGTACTTTAGACGTTTGACAAATGGTTACTATTAAACGGTATTTTAGACATTTGACAAATGGTTACTACTTACTACCAAAGGGTTTACGGCATTTTACACATTTGACAAATGGTTACTTCTAAAGGGTATTTTAGACATTTGACAAATGGTCAAACACTCTACAACCATGCATTTGATCAAACATTGCAATTTTCATGGTACGAAGAGGGCATGCTTAATCTTTTGATGGAAGTATTTGTGTTCACTTTTATTTAACGATGAGCGGAAAACCCAAAAAAGTTTTTATATTCCTTCGGAATTTAAAGTCAACTTTTGGTCAATACGGACGCGCTATTAGGCCTAACCTGCAACAAATATCTTTCCGAGGAATTGCACCATACTGCTATCGTCCAACCAAAGGTATATCCAAAGGCAACCCTGATGCAAACAACTTGTGTAACGCATATATGATGTATAATATCAAATGAGAACTATAAATATTTTAAGAACCATGAGAACCAGTATATACGCATTGATGCATATACACTATATGAATTTCACCAAGTATAGGCATCAATTCATATAAGCTTGCATATATTATGATTCCCGTTTGAACCTTCCCCTTATATACATATATACATATATATATAGAGAGAGAAAGAGAGAGAGAGGGGGGGAGGAGGGAGGTTAAGGGGAAAACCACCAGAAAAATTAAAAACTGAGGAACGCCTAGTTACCATTTATCTGGACGGTATGCACATATGTATACAAGTAATTGAAGTTGTATCTTGATTTTTATGCACATGTTCATACCGTCACGATGACGGTTACTAGGGTGTTCCTCAGTTTTTCATATTTTTTAGGTTTTCCCTGGCCGTGTATATATATATATATATATATATATATATAGAGAGAGAGAGAGAGAGAGAGATACATACATACATATATAGAGAGTCCCAATCATTTACAAACCTCGATATTAACAAACCAATCAATTGAGACATTTATAGAACGAAGGAGGGTTCGTTTATTATGGTCCGGAGATTCTGGATATTTATGGAAGTCGATCAGAGTTCATTCATTATGATCAACGCTTTAGGTAGGAAACAATCGAGATATCTATGGTTACAAATATTCTTTAGATTAGATGGAGGTAGAGATTGGTTTGTAAAAATAAAAAGGTTTGCAAATGATTGGGACTATATATATATGTGTGTGTGTATATATATATCAAAATAGCACCCCAAGTGATTAACGTTTTTAAGCTTTTTAATGGTAGATCTACGGATCGTAAGACATCAAAAACGATGTTCCATATACTCCCTCCGTCCCAAGATAAGTGCCCACGTTCCTACTTTAGTTTGTCCCGAAATAAATGTTCACTTTCAAAAGTAAGCGTCTACTTTCCAAGTATACCCTTAATTATGAGATGACGAATTTCATTACTTGGCCTCCATTATTAAGGGTAAAACTGTCACTTAGTTAATTAAAAAGTGTAATAATTAAATGTTTCTAAAACTTTGTGCCTTTTTCATCGTGAACATTTATCTTGGGACAAAGTGAGTATGCAAAAGAGGTTCGTCGAGAGACAAATTAAAATGCATGCATATAACTAACTTACTTGTATCAAATAAACTCCTGCATTAACCGACGCATAAACGATCCTGAGTTTATCCGTTGGTAAATTTTTAGCCTACTCATCATATAAGAGAAACAATTAGCATATAAAGATCAATGAGAGCATCGCCAACAGATTCTCCAAAACGGAAACTTTATAAGAGTCCACAAAATCTCCAAATTTGGAAAAGTCTCCAAAATTTGTTGTGAAGAGAGAAACGTATTCTTTTACTTCTTTTTTGGAGAAGTTATGGAAAATCTGTTGAAGATGCTCTGATGTGAAAACGATATGATTGGAGATGAAGTTTACTTGCCTGGTGGTATATCTCCGCCCAAAATAGGACAAGAAGAGTATACGTTGAGAAAAATAGTAGACCGGGAACTTCCAATAGCATCCAAATACATACCTAATAAGCAAAATCGTAAATTATGCAAAATTTTAAACAAGTTGTTTGAATTTTTTTTCAAATATCTAAAAATTCCTCGATGAAAACAAATTTTGCGTAGGCGAGGGAACTTTAAAATAAACCAAACGGCCACGTTGATCCTACTTGAAAATAGGGTCTGGGGGTGTGAGATGTACGCAGACCTGACCTCTACCCCAACAACAGGGTATAGCGGTTGTTCGTGTCAAGACCCCCCCCCCCCCCGAGGCGGCTTGTGCAAGAGTGTGAGCGAACAAGCAGAAGGAATAAAAACTAAAGGAAGTATGTGTGAGGCCCTCCCGAGGGCAAATGAATAGTTGAACCACTTTTCCCGAGCCGAAGAATGGGGAAATTCGATTTTGTTGTTCCCACCTAAGGTGGTTAATACTCCATTTGTGCCAAAACTAAATGCCCACAATGAAAAAGATACACGTTTTAGAAATACGTAATCATTACGCTTTTTAATTAACTAAATGACAATTTTACCCTAATAATCGAGGGAATAATGAATTCCTCCATCTCATAATTAAGGATAGAATTGGAAAGTGGACAATTACTTTTGAAAATGGACACTTATTTTGGGACAAACTAAAATAGAAATATGGACATTTATTTTGGGACGGAAAGTAATGAAAGCCTAGATCGACATATTTGAAAAAAACAGTATGAAATGGCAACACTCACCTTGGGATGCAAACTGAACACTTGCAAGTGAAATCCAAAGACAACGGCACGTACTGCAAAACACGCGATGTATACTTGTCACCGCTAACCTTTCAAGAGAATATGGTTTTAACAGATGATTAAAATCCTACCTCCATTAACGACGAAATTCATGAGGTGGAAAACTTTTTGTGTCGTCCAACCGTACTCGGGCACTCTTAGTTCAATCCTAATTAATTGAATCTGCAAGTACGTAGAGCCATAGACAAACATAAAAACACACATTACATTGATGAAATATCCATCTTTTTGATTGATGAACCAATAAGGCAAAGGAGAAAGTCGTCACACCACATTCACAAAGCATGTGCAGATGACTTCGCAACTCATGGTAATAGTATTCTCGTACAGGAAAACTATGCATCTTTAGCGATAAGGGGCGGGTTCAAATGAGAACTGTAAATATTTTGAGAACATGATATCCAACTATTCATACTTTATTCATTATGAATATCCATTTGTTTAGTGTTTAGCTACCCCAAGGTTTCTTTTTTCTTCTTTTGTATTATGTATTGTTTCTTTAAGACATTTGCCTATTGTTGACGCACTCGGGTCTTCATGAAAATAACCTCTTTACCCTTTAAAGTAGAGGCCGGGACTTTATACATCCCACCCTGTGGACCCTACTTCCGAGTTGGATATATTGGGTTCATTTAGTTTGGTTATGTAACGCTTCAAGCCCAAAGCAGACCCTATAACTTCATATTCAACTTAAAAACATGGTAGAAGTTATTGGTAGCCCACAACTTTGAGCTTATAAGGAGCTCACAAATCTACTTTTCTATCCATGTGCGACGTGTTGTTACAAGTTACATAAACAACCACTCTTAACTCTTTATGCCAGAGGTCACTTCTTGTACATTTACAAGAGTTCAAATTTGCCAAATCAAGATTTAAGTACAAGCTCCATTGCATAAAGTACAACTTCCTGTTGCATATTGATGATTCCCCACAAGTTAGGGACTATTTTTAGCAGCTTAATGAGACTCAGAGCTTATTCGGTCAGCTATACATGACTGTTAAGGATATAGAAAGTGGCTTATTTCAGTAAGCTTGTAGGGGAGCTTAATGCAGAAAGCCAAGGTTTTTCTAAACCCACCCTTCCCGGTTAAAAAAACATGTCACTTCATCTATGAAAAACCCTCTCAAACAAAAATCTTTCCCATTTATACAATCTATACGAACAGATTTATTCATATAAACAGCTTTATCCATACAAGACTCTGTGGATTAATCTGTTCGTATAGATTGGTAATCCACACAAACAGCTTTATCCATACAAGACTGTGGATCAATCTCTCACAGATAGAATGAGCTTGTTTTTCAAATGGATATGATAAGTTTGAGCTTACTGAATAAGCCACTTTCTATATCATTAAGTCACTACCAAACAGAAACTTACTGAATAAAACTATACCATTAAGCGGTAGTAGTGTATAGCTGACCAACTAAGCTGCAAGTTCATTAAGCTACTAACAAACCAGAAAACCAACCAAACAGCCCTTAATGAACTTAAAGAAAGTGTATGTGTGTGTGTGTGTGTTTAATGAGGGAAATAGCTTACAAGAGCAATGGCGGAAACCAAAGCATAAGAAGCACAGAGTGCAAAGAAGATTCCATCTTGCCAATATCTTGATTCATTTATCTCCTCCCACCAATCCGACGACGACCACCGATCAATCATCTTCATCGACGATAACGACGACGGGATGCCCAGTGGCACTCTCGTCATTTCACACCCAATTCAACCCACAATAAACACAAACCCAGATGCCTCTTGATTGATCGATTTACGCAAATCTTGACTGAAGATTGAAAAAATTGGAAATCGAGATTACTGCTTCTTGTAGTTATATCAAATGAAGAGATGGAAAGATTGCAGATGGGAATCGAGGGGAGAGAGAATCTTGGAAGTTTGTGGAGTTGTTTTTTTGTTTTTGCAGGTCCCCCAATTCATCGAGTCGACCTCGGGATGCACAAAAAGCAAATAAAAAGGGGAAAAAGTGCAAGAAAGAAGAAAAATCAAACATGGAAATTGATTGTAGTGAAAAGAAGATGGTGGAAGAAAGAAGAATTCTCCAAGTTTGTTGCTTTTGTAAATAGTAGTTAGTTGATAAGTTAGCTGATAATTGATGAATTGATAGTTAATAACTGATGAATTAGTTAATAACTTTTAGTTAAAGGTTGATAAGATAGCTGATAGTTGATAAATTAGTTGGTAAACTAAATATGTTTGCAATATGCAAAATGACATGGTCTATGTTCAGTAGAGATATTAAAATGGGATTTTAAGCAAGAGGTTAATTACTGCTAATTTCGATCAGTTTTACACATCACCTGTTTACTAGGAACCACATGTGAAGAGCATTTCAAGCTGAGAAGTTGCTGAAGGTAGCGGAGGGGTTCAAACTCCTCTCCAGCAAGACTCGAATGTGAATCTGTTGTATATTTAAATAAAATCGTTCTATCCATTTGTCAACTAAGTTGTATGTTCGATTTATACAAAAATCATATGATAAAATGCATTCAATTTTTCATATAGTTTTTATATTCTTTATATCATTATAAATGGATTATCATGTTTTATGTATGTTTTTAAAATGACTATAAGGGTATTCGCGTAATGCAACGAGATATATCTCAATTTTAGTGTTTCGTTTTATTCAGTCTCTGTAGATGTTATAATACGGTTTTATGTTATTTTGAGAAAGAGATAATGTTTTTATTTTTAAATAAAATATAAATTTGAAGATATTATAAAATTTCGAAAATAAATATATCAATATTAGTATCAAATTAACTATTTAAAATTTCAAAAATAAATATATCAAAGTTCTTGATTTAATAATATAATTTTTTATAAGGATAATAATTAAGTATTCTCTTAAATAATTATCCAAATCATATTTTACATTTGTTATATTTAAAATAAAATATTTATCTTGTATTTGACTATGTTTATCTGCAATTGGTTGCATGATTTAAACATGAAACTTTAATAAGTTGTACTTACGCACACGCACAGTTTATTTGTAATATTGAATTTTAAGTAATATGCATCAATAAACAGTACTTTATGCATAAAAAAATGATTTTTTAAATTTTTTTTGTCAAATATTTTATAATAAAGTATAGATTATTACAATTTAAAAAAAATAGAAGAACACAACCATTTGAATAAAGTTTTTCAAATGGTTCCATTCCCCCCCCCCCCCCTTTTTTTAAGAGAAATATAGTTTTTTTTAAGTATATATTACTTGTATACAGTAAATATAACAAATAAATTTACACACTCTTCATCTTTTGTGAGGTTTGAACCTCTGATCTCGTACAAGGCCAATGACTATTGTATCACTAGGCCAAATGCCCTTTTGATAAAAGAGAAATTTAGTTGATTATACATTTACCTTTAAATGATCAGTATTATTATGGTATCTGATGTATAACTCAGTTAGTAAATGGATGAAGCAATTTTATCAAGTAATGGGTTCGATCTCAGATCTGTTATTAGCCTCAACCGCTGGGTGAGCAAAAAAATGTTCCCTCATATTAACCACCTTTGAAACAGGTTTTGTACAAGACTGATTAATATTGCTGGTAATCAATTTTTGTCCAAACCAGTATTATTATGACAACCTATTCTTTTATTTATTTAGATTTAATCAAAAGCATGTACAACTTGCAAGCTTTAAAAATAACATTTGGTTTGACTCATGTGTATACATGTGATATTGAATGAGAAATATTAAATAATCAATTATAATAAAAACTTAATACAAAAAAATATTTAAAAAATATTTATATTTTTCTAATAATCTTTGATTATTGAAGAAATACCGTACAAATATAAAAACATATAGGAAATTATATTTACTATTTAATGCCAGTTTTATTATTTAAAATAAGTTATCTGAAAGTTATGAATTAGATCTCTTAATCTTTGTACAGATTAAATATATCTGGTTTAAACCTGTTATGAATCAGATTCATTGGTTCACTATCTAACCTTACCTTGGTTAAGTCAATAATATTTTAGTTCATTTTACTACTTTCTTTATTTTATTTTTAAAAAATAGAATAACTATACGACATGATATATATAGGGACTCATTCAAGGGATAACTGATTAGTTTGTGATAACCGTGAGATCCATTGTGAATCACTCGTTCGAGATATTTAGGGATATTTATTAAATAAGCTAAAATAGTAATATAATAATTATATTTTTTATAACTAATCAAAATATTTAATTAAATTTTTTAGAAGGAAATTTTTTAATTAAAATTAGTTACCTAGTAATAGTACTATCAATTACCTAATATACATCGTATTTTAAATATGTTTGTGAATCAAAGTGTATCATATTGATAACGTTCACAATATTTCACGTGTATCACAATGCATTCTCTTTGTTTTATGAAATGTATCATAGTGTGCATTTTCGTTATTTTCATTGTTTTACAAATGATATCACATTGTGCATCTTGTATGTATATATGTGTATCACAGTGAATATCATTTGTTCACATAAGGTTCATTGGAATAAAGTTCGTCAAATAAGATTTGTCGGAGAGAGAAAAGAGGAAAAACAAGAGAGGATATTTATAAATTCTTAAAAATGTCCTTAATTAATATTTTAAGTTAAAATTACCAAAATTATTAATTTCTTAATTTAACCTTTGATTTGTAGTTTGGATTGAATCTCACGGTTACCACAAACAAAACAATTTTCATTTGATTGAATCTCAATCTTTGTACAGATTATATGTGTGTTATGAAGTACGATGACTGAAGCAGGGGAAGTTGTCGGTAGAAGATGGAAAAATGTGTTTTTTGTTTTATTTATAGATTAAAGTTCAATTTTGGTCCATAACATTTGCAATTCTCAACGGGCACTAAACTTCGAGAACACAGATTTGGTCCCTCATGTCTGTCAAGTCCCAACGGTTTTGGTTTCTCTGTCTAACGGTCATTAATTTTTCATTAAGTCCAGTTAAATAAGGAGCATTTTAGCTTACAATTTACATTTAAAATCGATATGTTTTTCTTATTTTAATATTTTCACAACAGTAAAAATGACTAAACACCATTCATTTAGTGGGACTCAATGGAGAAAGTTAACGACCGTTATACAGATGGACCAAAACCGTCGAGAATTGACAAATATGAGGAACCAAACTGAGTTGTTGAAGTTTATGGACGATATCCGTTGAAAATTGCAAAAGTTACAGGCCGAAATTGAACTTTACTCTTAACCGAACATCTTAACGGAAGTTAGTGTTAGGATTCCAATTCATAACGAAAATGAAACCACATATACTTTATACAATGAATATAACAAATCTAGAGGGGCTGAATCTGTAATATTTATATAACCACATATTTCAAAACCCTAATTCCTGATATTAAACCTCCATATTTGGCTCAGCTTGTTGGTTCTGATCATCAATGGCTTCCATCGTCAAGCTTCGTTTGCTGAACACTTGTACTTGTCGACGGTTCACTTTATTTCGTCAATTCCAAGCTCGGTATTTCTCGTCAATCCTAACCCCTGATTCCACCACTCCTCTCACCAGCAAAGAGAAATCACGCGCCGCTCTTTCTCTCCTTAAAACGGAGAAGAACCCAGAACGCATCATCGAAATCTGCCGAGCAGCTTCACTCACACCGGAATCACATCTTGATCGCATAGCATTTTCAATTGCAATTTCAAAGCTTGCTGATTTGAAATACTTTGAGGGTATCCGTGATTTCATAGAAGAGTTGCTTAAAACTCGACCGGATTTGAACAACGAGAAGTTCATTGCTCACGCGATTGTTTATTACGGTCAAGCTGGGTTGTTGGATAATGCCTTTCAACTGTTCGATAAAATGCCTCACTTGGGTGTTGCTCAAAATGCCAAATCTTTAAATGCTTTGTTGTTTTCTTGCATGTTAGCTAAGAAATACGATGAGTTGGAGCGTGTTTATCTTGAGTTTCCAGAAAAATACGGAGTGACACCAAACGTTGATACTTATAATACTGTGATCAAGTCCTTTTGTGAGTCGGGTTCTTCGAGCTCATGTTATTCAGTGATTGATGAGATGGTTAGGAAGAAATGGAAGCCTAATGCAACTACATTTGGTATTTTAATTTCTGGGTTTTATAAGGAGGAGAAGCTTGATGAGGTTGGGAAGGTGCTGGAGATGATGAAGAAGCTAGAAGTGCCTATAGGGATTGGAACATATAACACTAGGATTCAAAGTCTGTGTAAGCTTAAGAAAACTATGGAAGCAAAAGAGTTGCTTGATGGGCTTATGTTAACTGGGATGAAACCAAATTCGGCTTCTTATTGTCATTTGATTCATGGGTTTTGCAAGGAAGGGAAGTTGGATGAAGCCAAGAACTTGTTTAACAAGATGATCAGTAGTGGCTTTAAACCGGACAGTGATTGCTATTTTACATTAGTCAATTATGCATGCAAAGCTCGTGATTTTGAAGCAGCGTTGATGTTTTGCAAGCAAAGTATGAAGAAAGATTGGGTTCCCAATTTTTCGACTATGAAGTTGCTTGTTGAAGGGCTTGGCAACAGTTTGAGGGTTCATGAAGCAAATGAGCTCGTGCAGCAGATGAAGGAGAGGTTCCCGAAAAATGCCCATATGTGGAATGAAGTAAAAGAGAATTTACTCAAAGGAGAGGATGCTTGACATAGTATGCTGATGCCAGGTGAAAGTTTGAAGGAGAACCATAAATATTTTGAGAACCTAGACCGTCGATTGCGTTAATTATTCATGATGAATAATCCTAAAATATTCATGAATATTACCATTCATCATGATTACATATATCCATTATGAGTAATTCATGAATAGTTGGTTCCCGAGTTCTCAGCTTTTTTTGAACCTGCCCTGCTGATGCAATTCGCTTCGTGTTTGCGGTGCTGATAAACTGTATGAAATTGACATAATTGGGGATGGAGCTGCTTCCTTCAATTGAATTTGGTTCAAATTAAGTTGCTTTTTGGTGTCCAACTATTTATTTATTTTCTTAGCCATTTTAGACACAATCTTTAAAGATCAATGTCCCCTTCTTCAGTTGTAGGAGCTCAAAGCCTTAACTAGTAGCATTTTATAAGGGCATTAATGATTGATTGTATTTTGGAAGGTTTTAGGGTTTTAATCTATGATGGGTAGTTTAGTAATTTACCAATCTTGTCTTATATGCAACTTTTGTTCCACCTAGGTTCTGTCTTGCCTTCATATGCTTCAGTCTTGGATCTCTTGGATGCATTTCGGAGGTCTCTTCTATTTTCTTGTGGTATGATACTCTACTTGTTTGCAAATTCTTATTGAAATGTGTTTCATTCGCTCATGGATTCACACATCTACATGCTATGAGAACCATGATTCGTATCTTGATTTAAGGGACCGTGCTCATGTGATGAATCTTCTAAAGTTTTAAACCTGAAACATCTAACAATTCCCTCATTTATCTCTCCTACCAAATGAAGCACTCAGAAGATAGAATATTTGAGAGCACGGGTGCATTTGGTACATAGATAGGACTGGATGAGACTACACTGGTGAGAGTGAGGTAGGCGACTGAAAAAATTGTGAAAGGTTTTAAAGTTTTAATTTGACATGGGTAGTTTAGTAATTTACCCATCTTGTGAGCTTGTCCCATTTCCTTGAATTTTGTTCCATTTATTTTGGTGGACAGTCCTCGGTCTAAATGTCAAACCAACGTGGGACAACAAGTTCTTGTTCTATTATGTCCTGTGTACCAAATGCATCTCAAAGGTTTTAAATAGGGAAATTCAGAAGTAGAGGTCATCCTGATTCAAGAGATGGAATATAAAGGAAACATGCCACCATATGGACAGTTGACTTCTAGGTTTTGACTTTTATCTTGAATCACTCTTGTTGGAGCACTAGAACATAGTTGGTAAGAGTATCTCCAATCCAATCCCATTTTTTACACCATTTTACTTCATCCCAATATTGTAAAGCTGTTTGTGTGGATGATTTAAGAAATATTATAATTGCCAACTTATGAAGCCAAGACCATGCCTTAAACAAATATATCATTAATGAATTGCAACATGATGAATAGAATGACATAATAAGATTAAATAAATCATGATTTAGAAGACTATTTATTGGCATCCTTGAGATACTTAGACAAGATACATTGAGTAAAACAACACTTACAGTCCTCAAATGACTACAATATTCACTAATGAATACTCACTGTTCAACTTTGTTGTGAATGATGGCAATGGTGTCAAAGGTCTAGTGGATTCAGGTCTCACAGAAGTACCGGCTCGGTACATCCAACCACTCGACCAACGAATCAACAAGCAAGATGCAGCCGTGGCACTTCAAAACATGACCGTTGATCTATCTGAGCTCGATGGTCCTAACCATGAGCAAGTGGTCAAGACCATTGCTCATGCTGCTGAAACTCTAGGGTTCTTTCAGGTGGTGAACCATGGTGTGTCCTTAGAGCTCATGGAGTCGCTTAAAGTTGCAGCCCACCGGTTTTTTAGCCAACCGGCTGAAAAGAAGGCGGTTTATCTCAAGGGGGTGAGCCCGAGTCCGATTGTCAAGTATGGTACTAGCTTTGTTCCTGAGAAAGAGAAGGCTTTGGAATGGAAGGACTATGTAAGCATGGTTTACACTAATGATGCCAATGCTCTTGAGTTTTGGCCTAATGAATGCAAGTAAGAATCCGGAAACTAGTCGTAGATTAGCTATATTTTCGCCTGTTTGCTATTAGGGTTTTCTTGGAAACTAACCCCTCTCTCTCTCTCTCTCTCTGCCGGGACAGAGGGAACATTCACTACAACAAAATTGGGTCTATTGGACGTCAAAAATATCTAAGGGGCTGTATGGATTGAGAAGGTTTTTGTTTGGGAGGGGTTTTTCATGGATGAAAGTAGTTTGGGAGAGGCATGTTTGATTAAAACTTGGCTTTCTGCATAAAGCTGCCCTCTAGAAGCTTACTGAATAAGCCTCTTTCTATATCATTAAGCTACTACCAAACATTCACGTATGGGTTACCGAATAAACTATGAGTCCCATTAAGCTCATTATAAACAGGCCCTAAACGTCATAATAGACTGCTCTATAAGACTTAATTTGTAGGATCAAACAAAATGACGCCTATCTAAAGGTGTTGTAATATGTTTTAAAACGTTTTTGGGCCCCATACCAAGTTTTTTAGGACACTTTTATAATAAAAACATCGTATTGGATATTTTACATGACACTATAAAAAAAGTGTATAAAAAAAAGTGTATAAAAAAAAGTGTCCTACGAGAAGATGTATAGGACACTTCTCAAAAGTGTCTAGTAAAATAGCTAATATGATGCTTTTGTATTAGAAGTGTACTAAAAAAACTTATACAAAAGCCTCCTATAAACTTATTACACCATCTTTAGATAAGATGTTTTATTGTTTGAATCAAGGGTAGGTTAGATGAAGGTCATTGAGCTAAAATTGTAAAAGGGTCATGCTTTTAATTGAAAAATCACTTAAGGTCATTTATCCAAATAACCCTCGTAATTCTGTAGGGAAGTGGCTCTCGAGTACATAAAGATGTCAACGGAAATGGTGAAAAGGCTATTACGAGCACTCATCGGTAACCTAGAAGTAAAACTAGATGAGTCAACACTCGATGCCCTTGTAGGTTTAAGGATGGTGAACATGAACTTCTACCCGACGTGTCCAAACCCCGAGCTGACCGTTGGTGTGGGGAGGCACTCTGATATGGGCACGCTAACCGTCCTTTTACAAGATGGCATCGGTGGATTATACGTGAAAAAAGGCGAAGCCTCGTCATCGGCAAACGAAGAATGGATCGAGATTCCACCCGTCCATGGTGCTTTGGTCATCAACGTTGGTGATGCACTACAGGTTTGTACTTTATGCTATGTATAATTACACAGAAAGAAACAACTGCTCTACTCTTTAGGACAAATGACACATCTGTGTGCATCCTACCTTTAGATCCTAGGTTCGATATTGCTGTCCTTTGTTTGCATATGTGAACCTATATGAATAATCTTTAACTTTGTTTTACATATGCATCTTCAAATAGATTCTTGAGTAAATTAGTTTTTCATCCTGTGGTTGAGAAATTGCGGGTTTTATCGCTATGATTTGTAATTTATGATTTACAACTTATTGTTGTTTCCATCTCTATGGTTACAATCCTTTACTGTTTTGGTCCCTTGTACTTAAATGTAGGAATTTAGTCTAGGGACGAAAATATCAATAAATTGTAAACCATAGGGGTGAAAATCATAATTTCTAAACCACAAGGATGAAAATGGAAGTTGTTAACAAACCACAAGGACGAAAATCGTAAATTTCTCTTCTTTTTCTCTATCTCTTCGATGAATCACATATGAACCTTTTATTAACCTTTCCTTATCTTTTCATGATATTTATTCTTCTCACAATCATTGGCCTTATCTTTGATTTTTGATGTTTATATGCTAAGATTTTAAGCAACGGGAGGTACAAGAGTGCGGAACATAGAGTGCGAACCACAAGTGTCGAGTCAAGAGTGTCGGTTCCAATATTCAACGCCCCATTGCCGGTGGCGAAAATTGGACCATTGCCCGAGTTGGTGGCTCGTGACGGTGTTGCTCGATATCGAGAACTCGTATTTGAAGATTACATGAACAACTTTTTCGGGAAATCTCACGAAGGAAAGAAATCGCTCGATTTTGCATCTATTTTGTAATATTAATACCAGTTCCCTGTGAAGCTTTATCCCTCCATTGAATCAAATGGTGTTTCTTGTGTGTAATAAAAGACTTGTGATGATGAAATCGAATTGTTAAGTTTCTGAAAATGAAAATTTTATATTTTATATTTTAATGTTTTAGTTATTGTTTTTTGTTTAATTCTTAACTGAACAAACGAATGAACACAAACACAAAATGTTGCGTTTGTTATGTAGAAAAAAGCCCAAACACGGCCTAAAAGAGCCCGAACCAAGTGACCCTAAAGGCCGGTCTGGGCCAGACCTCAAAGTTCGACAAGGTCGAAATTTTGGGGCAGACCCGACCTACATAAGCTTGGAAAAGCACGGTTCAGCACGAAAAGCCCGGCCTGAAAAAGCCCGATTGAGCTATTCTTTAACCCGAAAGCCCAAGCTGACCTAAGAAAGTTCGAACCTTTTTTTCTCACTGAAAACGGACTTGAAAGGCCCGGGCTCAACAAAAAATAGGTGGAACACAAATCTGATAGATGCGACAAGATTGTTAAATTACCAAACCAGTCATCAAATTAAAGCTCTAAAATCTTTCTTAATTCTTTCACCCGTTTACCTCATTCTTGTCTGTCTTGACTTATCTCGTCCACGCACCAAACGCACCTAAATGAACAATTTTTCTTCATATCCATTTCTTAAGAAAATAAGCTTCTTCGTGATTTGTCCATGGACTTTATGAAACGAAAACGTTCATAAACGCAAACGAATGAATAAAACCATTGTTAATTTCCGTTCGTTTAACTAACAAATGAAAACTATTACTCGTATTCCTTTATTAAAATAATCGAAGGTCAACAGTCTTCCTACGTAATTGTTTAAAAACGGTTTGCTGAACATTTGATCCGTTTACACCCCTAGTTTTATTAAATATTTAAAAAATAGAAATCATATTTTTGTTAAAATGTATCAAATATTTTAATAATATAATAAATGTTGTAAATTCAAACAGAAAAACTGTTAGAGTGAAATATAATTTCTTTTTTAAGATTTTGAATTTTGGATCTGTATTTTGAATAAATTTTGAAGAATCTATTGGAGGAACTCTTACATTACATTATATTATATTACATTACGTTTCTTTTTAGACACATTTTCAAGCTGATTCTCAAAGGGCAAATTGCATGAAAAAGTAATGTATTTTAACTTTAACTTGATTTCTATTTCGGGTAACGTACTTTCAAATTTCTATTTTGATACCTAAGATGTAAAGTTTTAAACATTTAGTTACTCGGCTAACCGTTTGAAGCATTAACTCTTTCTTATAATAAATCACAATACATAAAACTAATTTCAGATTAAGATATCCATGTCAACAAATAATACTGAGTTAGATACTACATCATTCGTCATATCAATAGGTTACCCGGGTACTTAAATGTTTAAAACTTTACATCTTAGGTACCAAAATGGAAGTTTTATAACTACGTTACCCAAAATAAAAATCAAGTTAAAGTACATTATTTTTTCATGCAATTTGCCCCAAAACATTTGTATAAATAATAACTAGTTCACGAATTGGGACGAGGACATGACTAATTTAGTCAATTTTCCGAAAAGTAGTGTCACGGGTGATTCAGTTTGACCGGTTTCATATCGCAAAATATTCAATCTAGCGCCGGCCTATTTTTGGGCAATTAAGGCAACGACATATTACCGCTCTTTTTACCAAAAAAAAAAGAAAATCAAACCGTTATATTTTCAAAGTGTATTAAATACACATTACGACAATAAATGCCCCTATGTCTTTAGGATTATCTATCGACAGTATGATTTATGTTCGTTATTACAGATAAATAGTATGAAAGTCGAATGAACCTCGTTCTAGTTCTTATCTTAGGTAACGTATTTTTGTCTAAACATTTATATTGTTATCTAAAATTGTCACGTTTTAAATACGTACACACATTTCTTACTTATTGACTTGTAAATACAGAAAGGCGTCAAAGACCTTCCAGCCTAGTGGTAAAGGCTTGGGCATGGCATAGTCATGAACCCGAGTTCGAGCCCTGGGAGAGGAGTGTTGACGACATTTAAGTGAGGCCATGTTTAGCCTCCAAATTTGCCGGGGATTAGTCGGGCTTTGGCCCGGACACCCTTACAAAAAAAATATATAGAAAGGCTACTCGGGATTTTCTTCGTTGTACTTCAGGGTTTTTAGTATTAGTCGAGGTGCGTACAAGCTGACTCGGACTCTCATGGTTAAAAAAATAAAATGATATAGAAAATGACTTCATACAAAAGGCCAAGTTTTTCTCAAACATGTTCCTTGATATCTTTTCCATTACTAAACGCTTACCCGATAAGTACTTACCGTGTAATTTTCCTCACCGGATGAACATGAAAAGGGCCAAAAATCTTACCCGGTAAGAACGATGATAAGGATGGAGAGTCTTACCCGGTAAGTGATGGTGATGACTCTTACCCGAGTAAACGCTTACTAGGTAAATTGTTATATAGGATATGTTTTGATGTACTATAATCTTACCCAATAAAATAAATTATAGTGTTTGACTCCTTACGTTAAGCACTTACCAGGTAAGCATTTTGGTAAACGGCCCCTAAGTCATTTATGTATATATAGCATAAAACTCAATGGTACAACATGAGGATCCGTGGCGCAATGGTAGCGCGTCTGACTCCAGATCAGAAGGTTGCGTGTTCGATTCACGTCGGGTTCAATCCCTTAAACAAGGAATCCTTTCAATTTTTAAATTTTTTAACGAATTTTTTGTTGAATTGCTTAAAAATTCTAGCTTTTGATGTTAAATCCTTCTCCTTTTTCCAAAAAAAAAATTCGACTGTTCACTTGTTTTTCCATTTTCAATCGCCATTTTTGAGATCACTGATTTGCGTTCTGAATTTGTTCGAAACGGGATCGGATTTGAACAACTAAAAGCTCATTGCTATGGCGGTTGTTCGATAATGTCTGCCAAGGGTTTGATGAAATGCCTGAACTGGGTTTTGCTCTACATGCTGAAATCTTTAGATGCCTTGTTGTTTTCTTGTGGACAATGAAATGGGTTGTTGGTTGATGTCTGCCAAGTGTTTGATAAAATGCCTGAACTAGGTTTTGTTGAATATGCTGAAATCTTTAGATGCTTTCTTATTTTCTTGTGTACAGCTACACAATGGATGAAGGGCTATACAATAGGGCTACCCGATGGATGGAATGAAATACATATATAGGGCTACGCAATGGATGAAAGGTAACGTAGATGTAGTACCCAGCATTTTACTTTTTTTTTTTGGCTCACAAAATAGTCAAGAAACCGCAAGTCAATCCTCAAAACACTTTTTATTGCGGTGCCACAAGCGGCGGGTTTCTCTTGTTTTTTGTGCGTAAAAACATGTTCTTGTGGTGCAGTGTCTCAGTTGATGTATGCGGTAGGTCCACTTTTCATCTGGGTGCGTCATAAGATGTAAAAAACCGTAAGAAAAAGTGTTTTGGAGCGTTAACTTGAGGTTTTTTGGCTATTTTGTGAGAAAAAGTTTAAAGGTGGCTAAAAAGTAATACCTTTTCTTTACCCAAGTAGTTATTTATGATGAAAACCCATGGATGAAGGGCAATGTAGAAACAGGGCTACACAATGGATGAAGGGCTATGTAGACACACATCCAGAAGTTTTTTTTCACGTGGTGGTACAATTTGACTATAAAAAAATATCTATACTTTTTTTTTCCACAATATTAGTCTAGATTTATTGGTTGGTTCATTGTCCTTGCATAGAAAAGACCCATGTTGGAGTCCAGTCTACGTATATTTTGAAAAACACAAGAGGTATATAAAAAACACCAAAATTTAAGCTAAAAAACAACAAATTTGACATCTAGTGGGCTCAAACCTGGGAATTCTGTACAAAAGTGGGAACATTTACCATTTTAGCCATTAAAGTCTGGTGTTAACGTTTCATTTTCAAGAACTATATGATGACACTCAATAAAACAATACCGTGGCCCTCTTCAACAAACGTAATTTTTTTCCTCTTATGACGGAACCATGAAGTCATGTGGGTCCGCCCCTGGGGCTATATATAGTATGTGGATTTAATTAAATAAGATCATAAATTTAATAGATTATGCCTCAGAGAAGACTATTTATTGGCTTGATTGAGATGCTAAGGGCAAGATAGAAATTGGGAATCACATTTGCAGTTCTCAAATGGCTCCATCCTTCAATGATGAGAATTCATTGTTTAATTTCATAGTGAAAGAAGGGAATGGTATCAAAGGTCTAGTGGACTCGGGCCTTACAGAAGTTCCCGGTCTGTACATCCAGCCACCCGACAAGCGAATCAGCAAGCAAGATGAAGCTACGTCGCTTGAAAACATGACCATTGATCTATCAGAGCTTGATGGTCCTAACCATGACCAAGTGGTCCAAGCCATTGTCCATGCTGCTGAAACTCTCGGGTTCTTTCAGGTAGCGAACCATGGTGTGCCGTTGGAGCTCCTTGAGTCGCTTAAGGTTGCAGCCCACTCGTTTTTCGGCCAACCGGCCAAAAAGAAGGCTGTGTATCTCAAGGGGGTCAACCCTAGTCCCATGGTCGAGTATGGGACTAGCTTTGCCCCTGAGAAAGAGAAGTCTTTGGAGTGGAAAGACTATGTGAGCATGATGTACACCAATGATGCTGATGCTCTTGAGTTTTGGCCTAACGAATGCAAGTAAGGGCTTGTTTATTAGCAGCTTAATGAGACTCGAAGCTTATTCAGTTAGCTATATATGATTGTTTGGTAGTGGCTTAATAATATAGAAAGTAGCTTATTCAGTAAGCTTCTAGGGGGAGCTTTATACAGAAAGCCAAGTTTTTTTTTTCCAAACCTGTCCTGCTAATTAAAAAACACGTCCTTCCCTCTAGGAAAAAACCCTTCCAAACAAAAACATTTCCTATGTATACAGACGGATTAATGCACAGAGATAGTTTTATCCATACAGTACTCAATGAAAAATCAACAAACATCCCCTAGAATCCCATAGTAGTCATAGATTAGCTATTTTCTTGTTTGTTTGCAATTTTTATCTTGCTTGATCATCTTAGAGCATCACCAACAAATATGCTATATTTTTTTCTAAAACAGAGTATCAAAAATCAAAATCTATATAAAAGAATTACATCCAACTACACCAGCTACTCTATTAGTTGTATTATTAGAGCATTCACTGCATTTGATAAAATATTATTTCTCTCTCTTAAACTTTTAATTTCAATGCCTGGAAATTGACTGAAATAGCCAATCCCAACAACCAAATTCACTCTTTAGCCACTTTTCAGAGCATCTTCCCAAAATAGCCAGTATTTACGCAGATGTTTTACGCATTTTTGTAGGGAAGTGGTACTCGAGTACGTAAAAACATCAATGGAGATGGTGAAAAAGCTATTACAAGCACTCATTGGGAACCTAGGAGTAAAACAAGATGATCCAAGATTCAATAGTCTTGTAGGTTCAAGGGTGGTCAATATGAACTACTACCCAGCCTGCCTGAACCCCGAGCTAACCATCGGTGTGGGGTGCCACTCGGATCTCGGCATGCTAACGGTGCTTTTACAAGATGATATCGGTGGATTATATGTGAAAAAAGGCGAAAATGAAGAGTGGATTCAGATTCCGCCTGTCCATGGTGCCTTGGTCATCAACATTGGTGATTCGCTACAGGTTAAATTTCATGCCCACATAATTACTTGTACTATGTGTTATGTATAAGTGTACCATACAATCGCGGTCTCATGAGGAGGAGGGGTAGGCCTAGGAGGACGTAGTTAGCAAAGCGGTTAACAAAAGGGAAAACCGCCTGTATATATACATATCGTTCATCTGGACGATATGCATATATGCATACAAGTAATTTGTGAGCAATTTGTCTGGCATAATATGCACACGTGCATAAAAGCTAAGAAACAACTTCAATTACTTGTATGTACATGTTCAGACCATCCAGATGGATGGTTACCAAATGTTCCTCATTTTTTTGGAGTTATCGCCTGAACCTCCCTCCCCTCCTCTCTTTCTGTGTGTGTGTGTGTATATATATATTGTATAATATAGGGCCGGTTTAATAAGAAGGCTAAATATCATAAGAAGTTCAACAAAGATGGTTAAGGAAGGTTCATGTGTGAATTCATTGAAAAATTACAAAAAAAAAAATCTGTTTGAAAATTCGTTTTAGAACCGATGTTACAGATTATTGATATGGGTTCAGATATATAGCTTCAAATGGATTTTGCAATGATTCACATATGAACCTTCCCTTCTTACCTTCTAACGATATTTAACTTTCTTATTTAAATCTCCCACACATAATATATATATACACACATACACATATCTACACCCAGGTCGGGAATGGTTTACCCGGCCCGGTTTTAGAAACGTGAGGAATACTCGGCCCGGTTTTAGAAACATGAGTAATGCCCGTCCCTAAACGGAGCGGGTACCCACCAAGATCGGGAAAAAGCACCAATACTTTTGGTCTAAATTTTGGTGGTTGGGGTGTTTTTCTGTTAGATTTTCAGCAATGGGAGGTATAAAAGTGCAGAACACAGAGTACTAACCACGAGCGTCAAGTCACGAGTGTCGGTCCCGCTGTTCATATCCCCGCTGGCTGTGGCAAAAGTGGGACCCGCAGCTGAGCTGGTGGCTCGAGACGGGTTGGCTCGATATAAAGAAATCATATTTAGAGATTACATGAATAACTTCTTTGGTGAAGCTCATGTAGGAAAGAAGTCCCTTGATTTTGCCTCTATTTGATTGTTCTACACAGGTTCCCATCTATTTTAGGCTAATGTGGTTTCTTGTGTAATAAAAGGTTTGCAATTATGGTTGATTTCTTGTTTGGTATGTGTGTGTATATATATACATATATGTATGTATATATATATATATGTATGTATATATGTTGGAAAATTCAGTTGGAAAATTGTTTTTCGTTGTGAACTGGGCGACAAAGGAGAGTATGACATCTGTCCCCATTTGTTTCCGTTCATCATGAATAATGGACCCCATTCATAATGAACGTGATCTTTTACAGCATTCATGATGAATATCTTGTGAATGTCTTGAACACATGACATGTTCTCTTTTGTCACCTGGTTCACAATGGAACTTAAGTTTGTAATTTAACCTTAACTCTTATAGTGTGTGTGTGTATATATATATATGGGTGGGTTCAAATAAAAACCACTTAATTTGTAAAAACCGTGAAAACCTCATTCAACCAATCATAATTTTTCATTTTTTTCAATTTTTTTGTAATTATGAGAGGTTGATTAACCATTTTTATTGTGGAAGGTGTTAATCATGGATATTATTATCTTCATTATTTTAATTTTAGAGAAATACATGAAACAGTTTCATTAAAATTTCATTAATTAGTATATGAAACAATTTCATAACCACATATGAAACAACTTCATAAAAAAAAATATTATATGAAACAATTTCATAAGATTAACAATTTCATGAAAAAATTTCATAAGATTAACGACGGATGAGAGTAGTTTTTACGGTTTTTACAAATTGGAGTGGTTTTCATGTGATCGTTCCTTTATATATATATATATATATATGTGTGTGTGTGTGTGTGTGTGTGTGTGTGTGTTGGGGGGGGGGGGAGGGGTTTCAGGGAAACTCTCAAAAGGAAAATGAAAAACTGAGGAACATCCTAATAACCGTTTATTTATATGGTATGCACATGTGGTTACAAGTAATTGAAGAATTTTTCTTGATTTCTATGCACGTGTGCATGGACAAATTTCTTGTATGCACATATGCATACGGTAAAAATGAACGGTTATTAGGGGTGTTTCTCAATTTTTCATTTTATTTTACGGTTTTCCCTGGACACGACCGTATATATACATATTTTTATAGGGTTGTCTACCAATGAGAATAAGAGTTATGGTGAAAAGCATATATTCATTTATGCATATGCATTATAAAAATTTCTCAGAATATATTCACCAATGCATATTCTCTATGTATGCAAGTATATATAAATTGATGCATATACTCATCGAAATTCATTTTAAATTAATGCATACGTATCAATGGTTATACCTATTCTCACCATTCTGACCATAACTCTTGTTCGATCCCAAATCCACATACACTGCACGCACACACACACATATATAGATATAGATATATAGATATAGATATAGATGCAGATGTAGATAGAGGAGAACAAAAGAAATCTTTCATCAACCGTTAGGATCTAAAAAATAGATGTTATGGCTTGTCGAACTGCCGAGCCTAAACCTCCATATTCAAAGTACCGTGGTCTGTAGTTACACCCTCATTTATAGACTTGGGATCATGTGAGACAAGACTGTTTTCGTAAGATACATAAGACAAGATTTTTACACTGTGAAGATTCGGCTTTTTTTACCTTCACAACATTTTGTTGTGAACTTAAAGTGTAAAAATCGTGTCTCACGTGCCTCACAAAAACAACTCTGTCTCACGTGAACCTGACCCCTCAATTATATCCGCAATCGATGATTAATTGAGCTAGCTGATCTTTTATCGCAATACAATTATTCATACTATCGTTAATCTTTCCTTTAAAAAAGAACGGTATATAATTAAAATAAATTAATCCAATAAATAATTTTAAAAAAGTTAGTTTGTTACGCAACAACGTTCATCTTTTATCAGCTTTCCGAATTCTTCTCTCTGTCTCTCCCCCTTTCCTCTCTCATTTTCGACAAAAAATCCCCACTCGATTACCAAACGTCTCCCCGCAACTCAAATTTGAATTTCAAATTCCAAACCCGTTGATAAAAAAACGATCTTTTATGAGCATATTCATTATTTATGATTCAGACGTACAAATTTAGCTTTCAAAGAACGAATCTACGTGTTGATATGTAGTTTTCGACCCAAAAAGGGGTCTTATTACGCGAAAAAGATATATGATCATAACGATATCTACATACAAGATTTGGAAATCTTGAAACAAAATCAATCGGCAAAATGACACAAGAGGTGGCAAATGGCACAAATACAGGTCGGTATTTCTTTCTTCTTTTACCGTTTTTAAGATCAGTATATTGTCGTTAATAGAGATGGGCCAATTGGTTAGCCAACTGAGCCTTTAACCGGTCTCGGTCATGAAAAATACGTAATCGGTTAACCAATCGCGGTTATAACCGATTGCCAGATGAAAATCTATAACGGTTGACATAATTCGCCTTTTTTTTAATTCAACTTTTAACATTTTATTTATTATATAATAAATATATTAAACTATAGATTACATATAACGTATAATTTGGATGGTTACAAGAACTTTAGATCATAATATATATATATATATATATAGGGTGGTTCAAATACTAACTCATTTTTTTGTGTTAACTCTACTAACCAACATCAACCAATCATATTCTTTCTTTACTTTATGTTCAAATGTAACTTATAAATTGAATACAAGGGTCATTTTGTAATTTGACCTTTATGTAACTCCCCAATAATTATTTGGGAGTTACAAATCTTTTAAGATCCCTCTAATTGATCATGAGGTAATTCCGATGTTCACGGTGTTCATGGTGTTCATATCCATGTAATGTCCATGAACATTCACCGTGTTCATATAAATGTTCACCGTGTTCATGCGATGTTTTTACAAAAGTACCATCTGAACCGTTGTTCATAGGCATCTCAATTAATATATTAATTAAATGATTATTTTTATAGTCTCATTTAATAAGGATCATTTGATGAGAAAATGAACGATCAAGATCGGGTTAACATAGTTTGCATAATAGTTTTGGTTAGTATTTGAAGCAGCCCCTATATATATATATATATATATATATAT